TGAGTGTGAGTTTTCATCAGAGCTGCCTACTGGTGTTATTACTGCAACAATATTATTTGCTATATTCCTCCATTTTAGGTGCCTTAAGTTGAAATCCCCCAGGAGCAAGATGTTGGGTGCAGGAGCTGGAAGATTTTCCAGACAGTGGTCAATTTTTAACAGCTGTTCCTGGAATTGCTGGGATGTTGCATCCGGAGGCTTGTAGACTATCACAACGACTAGGTTTTGGTTCTTGACCTTTACTGCTAAAACTTCCACTACATCATTTGAGGCATTAAGCAGTTCTGTGCAAACAAGTGACTCTGCAATGTACAGGCCAACCCCCCCCCCTTTTGCCTGTTCACTCTGTCACATCTGTATAGGTTGTAACCTGGGATCCATATTTCGTTGTCCAAGTGATCCTTTACATGGGTCTCAGTGAAAGCCGTGAACATTGCCTTTGCCTCTGCAAGCAGTCCACGGATGAAAGGTATTTTGTTGTTTGTTGCTGGCTTTAGACCCTGTATATTTGCAAAGAAGAATGTCATCGGACTGGTGGTATTGTTGGTACTGGGGGGGAATTTTTTTTCTGGCATTAGTATCTGTATCTGTTGGTTTGGAGTGGAGGCCATCGACTGTGGTTCCACTCTAGGAATGACTGGATTTGGTGTACGATTTCTGCCATTTCCTGCCAGTTTTTTTTCCTTCCTGGCACTAAAAAACCTCTCCCTCTTGAGTGGCTGTGGCTACCCAGGTTTTCTCATGGCCTGGATGTTTTGTATCTTTTTGTCCCCTTTAGATGGTGTGCCTGGCAATTTAAGTTATAGCATAGTCTTTCCTGTACTGAAGAGGTACACATTTCAGGGTGAAAAAGCTTACAGGAAGGGAGTTTGCATTTTCCTGTTGTCATATGGGCATGGCATTTTCTAGGGTGGTCATAGTTGCACGTCCCGTCTGTTTTTCCAGATTTCCCATGTCTGCAGATACCAAGTGCATAGTATGTGCACAGCCTTAGTTTCCGTTTGCCTTGGGTTTCTGTGACTGTATTCCCTGTTGGTGCATGTTTCCCTGTCTTATTCCTATCCTCCCTAGGACCAACAATGGAGCTCCCCACCAGTTGTTTTTGGTAATATATCCTCACTATTGCTAGTGGAGTCCCTTTGTTTGCTATTTCCTGTGGTATTTCTAGTTTGCAATATTGGTTTTATCTTATCTTTGACTACACTTGTTTCCCCACTATGGCTCCTGTCCCCTATGAGGTCATTTATATGTATTCCTTCCTGCGTATAATTCCCGACTACCTGGACAAAATCTCCAGCTTCATCATTACTGTCTCCCAGGACAGCACCTCCAGCTTCACCATTACTGTCTCCCAGGACAGCACGTCCAGCTTCACCATTACTGTCTCCCAGGACAGCACCTCCAGCTTCACCATTACTGTCTCCCAGGACAGCACCTCCAGCTTCACCATTACTGTCTCCCAGGACAGCACCTCCAGCTTCACCATTACTGTCTCCCAGGGCAGCGCTGTCAGCCCCACATTTACTGACTACCAGGACATCACCTCCAGCCTTACAGTTTCTGACTACATGGCCAGTATCAAGGGCAGTACCATTCAGCCCAGACTTTTTATGTTCCCATCTGTTGTAGAAAGCTTCCAGGTTATCTATGAAAGCAGCTTTGATGTTGTCCTCTTTTAATTATTATTATTATACTCACAGGAGCGCTACACCCGTAGGATTATACAGCACATGTGGGGGGATGGAAGGTATTCAGGCTTAATTCAGGGAACTGGAGCACATATCCAATTCCCTAAATCAAGAGCCCCTCATCAGCATCAAGGAACCTCCCTTGAGGGGTCCTCTTTTAATACCCTTGTGATTTTAGTCCACAGATTTATCTCATTTGGGCATACCCAAAAACACTTCCCTGTTTTAATACTGCTTGTAGCTAGTTCTTGGATATCTGCACAAGGGGCGTGACACCAATTTCCACAAAAATGACAATTTATCCATGTGGAAGCCCGTTTGTTTGATTGACTGCAGACTACACAGGGCTTCATAATGATTTGAATGGTTGATTTACTGTAATTCTACTAGCAACCTCTTGAATATTTTATTAATAACCTCCTTAAATGAAGCTCTAGCTATTTGTATTTCTATTTCTACTTGTATATTGGACAGCTTACCGTGTACGTTCCTGATTTATATTTATTGTTTGTGTTTGATAAGGGCGCCTACAACCCCATCCGTTTACAGTCTGCTTTATTGTCCAACGAAACCGTTTGAAACCAGTCAAGGGTTCGGACCAGTCAAGGGTTCGGACCATCAAGGGTTCGGACCAGTCGAGGGTTCGGACCAGTCGATCTGATCTGATCAGTGGGTCACTTATTTAAAACATACTGGTCGGTGATTTGGGCTAACACATGAAGGATCTACTTGAAATTATCTACCCGAGTAATATGTGATTTGATTGATACAAAAGTATAACTTGCGTGTTGAAGAACCGGTGATTTCTGGCAGCTCCTACAATGACGAAGGGTCGAGCCTCAACCCTTGTTTATCAATCGCTGTATCTAGCTTTTCTAGTTTTTTTTTCGTCTCCACCACAATAAATGCTACATTATCACTATAGTTGACTGGTGGAAATTTTGGAGGAAGGACGCTTTTTCTGTAGTAATAATTGCTTCTCGTTGTGTATATTGCGACCGCTGGTAACTACAGGTTATATGAAAATCACAGTATACGTCTGGTATTTCAAGAAAAAAGAAACTAATGAAAGTCACTCCACTCCACTAAGTACCATTATAATACTGGTTAGTTGCTACTACAACACTGTATTCTGCTATTCACTGGTATCACTAGATTATATGCGAGTACACTAGCAGGCCAGGAAGATTATTAAAACAGCTGACCACTGTGGTAAGTTTCTGGCGACTTCTGGCACCTGCCTCTATAGGCTTATCACTTCATTTACAAATTCACCTGTTTTCAAATGACACTTTAACCTTTATCATCTATATACTAGGGAGCCACTGTAGTATACACTATACACTATGTATACACAATGTTATCAGGGAGACTTTCTTTCCTCTGACAAAGAAAAGTTCTATTATTATTATTTTGCACACGGAACGCAGGCCTAAGATTCCCCTCTGGCAGTAAACTCTGCTAGGTAGTGCACACTAATTCTCCTTTTTTGACTCAGTATATAATGTTTTCCGCCCAAGATCACCTAGCAGAAAATAAGAAAATAAGTACCTGCGGTGTTAGACGACTATTGTGGGTCGCTTCCTGGAGGACAAGGTTAACCTAAATCTCCTGAAATGCTCTGCATAACCAGGGACTTTCTATATATAGTGTGCCAATGATGTCAGCTAGGTCTGTAATAAGTGTGTCATCTACTCGTAGAAATAATAATAATAATTAAATAATAATAATAATAATATAATAATAATTATTATTATTACCACCATTACCCCTTCGTCCACTATCCATACTACCACTACCACCCGTGTACATAACATTGCCATCTGTGTCAATATCACCACCACGACTGTCTCTACCACCAACACCAACAATGTCCACACCTTCATACCACCACCACCAATTTCCATCCATACCTTCATACCACCACTAGTACCACTGTCCATACCTTCATACTACCACTACTACCATTGCCCATACCACTACTGTTGAGGCTTCAACTACCGTTACTATTAAAACCAACAACTTTGATACCACTACAACAACCGACGTCACTTAAGACAACAAGAAAGAGCTCGTGGAAGGTCCTCTCTACCATTACATTCCTCCAGAATAAAAGTTATATCTTGAGATTAGCTACCGGAGCATCGAACCTTCACTAGTCCTTGGAATAAATGACCACACGAGTCCTGCTGGAAGTATTCAAGTGCTAGGTAAAAAAAAACAAAAGTATCTGTGCAGTGTGGTGTGCCTAACAGTGTTAAAAAAATGACGCTATAGTGAACTTGTGCTAGAAAAAACTACTTGACCAACATGTTAATACGACCAGTAGACAGGCGCTGGAACGCTCTGTTTTAACTTCCATATCCATCAATTCCGTATATTTTACAGTCTTGTATATAAATTTTCTGTGGAATGCACTTGTATAAACTTGTTTTAAAGCGATATTTAGAGGAAAAAATATTCAAATTGATAGGTATGTGGGTCAATGTGGGAATGTTCTCAGATTTGCATTCTCTTTAAATGTAATGTATATAAATATATATTATATATATAAATATTATAAAATATATATATAAATATATATATATATAAATATATATAGTTAATATAATATAAATATTGAAATGCTTTGCATACTGCTCTTATGTATTATTTGTATGTATGTTAAATTTATAAAATATAAATATTATAATAATATATATATATATATATATATATATATAATATATATATATATATATATATATATATAATATATATTTATAATATATATATATATATATATATATATATATATATATATATATATATATATATATAATATATAAATATATATATATATATATATATATATATATATATATATATATATATATATATATATATATAATATATATATATATATATAATATATAATATAATATATATATATATATAATAATATATATAATATATATATATATATATATATATATAATATAATATATATAATATATGGGCTGTGCATACGATTGGTAAATACTACAGAAGGAACATCATCCCACAACGCTTTAGTAATGTTATATGAATTAGTCTGACTATACAGAAAAATATAGCCAGGCAGCGGTGTCGTGATACCGTTAAGGCAAAACATAGGTGAAAAGTTCTCTTGTTTACACAGATGAGTTTACAAGGCAAAGTCTGAGCAGTTTTCAGTGTTACGGTAAGGGCAAGAATGTTGGTATAATAATACCATGTATCGAAAATTATATCACAGAAACCGCTAAATTACTGGGAGTTTAATAAGAGCAGTCGTAGAGGTTGTTTGTTCTGTTAACAGAACGCCGAGTGCAGAGGGAGGAAGAACGCCGTCACGCAAGCTGTTTCCTCTGGTGGCGCGACTGCAAGCTGTCGGGCCAGATTTAGTTCAGCGTTGGTGTGTGAATGTGTCTACCCTGGAGGTGTATGAGTATGTCTACTCTGAAGGTGTATGAGCGTGGTGTCTTTCAGTAACAACAAAATGTTTGGATAAACCTACCATAATTACTGAAGCCCTCCAAACTTTCTTCACAAAAGGTATGCACTTCTTTAAATCAATGATGAATTTGCAACTGAATCAGAGGAAACCTGTTTTGTGCGATGGACGTGACAGGTAAACACAGGTAGTTGTTGTAAACCTTGAGAAATGTATAGATCAGGGTAACCAAATGAAAAATATCTACTCGTATTAATACAAGAGCGACACTTCCCCGCACCTTATTTTTTCCGTCATTATTCCTCGTCTTCCCCTCCCCTTTCCCTCAAGTTATATCACAATCAAACCTTCGTCTTAAAGTTAAGCATAATACTTTAACCAGCTGAAGTCTCTATCGTGAAATTACAAACTGTTAAGGAGAGGCAATGTGAAATTTGCCACAAGACGCCTAAGTTCCCACTGAGGTAACTGATGTTCATATGACTGAGAACCTGTTAACCTAAATTTCATGACTGAGGTTTCGTGTGCTTGCACATGAGTGAAGGTTGTAATGAACTGGCGCTACATTAGCAACAAATGTTGTCGGAATTTTGAAAAAACCTGGACTGGCTATTGTGATGACCCTTCCACAACCTTGTTGGCACCTTATTAATTATTATTACCTTCATGGGGTAAACGTTAAACTTGTAGAGGTCGCATAGCCCCTGGGGGAATGGGAGGCAATCAGATTAGATCCAAGGAATTGGATTTTAGGTCCAATTCCTTGGATCAAAAAATCCTCATAGACATCAAGGGACCTCCTTTGAGAGGAGGCGACCTTATTAAGATCCACAAATTTCCCTTGATTTTAACACTTAGTTGACTCAGTGGTAAAGCAAGTGGCTAGTGTGAAACACAGCTCCCACCCACCCCAGTCCAACCCTAGGGCCGACACAGCACCAGACGATGCCATATTGTCTATTCCCACAGGCAGAGACTCGGAGCGGACAAAAAGATAAGGATAAGGGAAACGGATAAAAATGGAGAAATAACTAGAATTTGAGAGAAAATGAGGTAGTATTCTATTCACTCAGTTCCGAAGTATGCTGCCATCACCTGTTCTTTTAACCGTGGAAGAGATGAAAGTAGGTAGTCATTTGAGAAGGGAGAGCCACGGAATTTGGGTTAGACCCGGAAAAACCCAATGAGAAATAACACAGGATAGGTAGAATAAAGTAATGGTCCGGATAAGTACTGGCTCTTAGGGTAGCTTGGCCTGAGAACTGAGCAGTAGGCACCTTATCAAGGGCTTGACTCTCCAGAAGAAAAAAATATAAATAAACACAGTGTGCATTTTAAATACCGACAAATGGACCTTATATACATAACTCAAATGGAAAAGCAAAACATACCCAGATAAAGCAACTTACAATTTAATAAACATACATACAAGAGAATCTGAAATTTTGGCACCAACAAGAGAGAAATTTGCAATCTCGAAACAAAATATTAGAGCACGCTTAACTACCACCACACACAGTTCCCAAGGAACTCCCTTGCCTTAACGTACTGTCTGGGGTTACCTCCCTTGATTCAATGCCTTAATACACTCCTTCAGGCTGCTACTGAGATCTTCCGAACCCCAGATTATAAGCCTGGTCTTATCCTTCAGTTGTCAAGGTCTCTAATAGCTTACTAACACTTCCTCAGTGTGCCCAGGCATCTCTTCAGGGGTGCCTGTCTTTTTTTTTTCTACTGATTCTTAGGCATCTCTACTAATTCTTTAGGCATCTCTGCAAGTGGCCTACGAGGTCACCAGACCTAACTGTTTGTGGCTTCTTTCTTTGGGGGGTACGTGAAGAGCACAGTTTACGTGCCACCACTACCTGCAACTCTGGAGGAGTTGAAAATTTCGATCACTGACCCAGTTCGCATGATAACACCAGATATGCTGCAGAGCGTCTGGACCGAACCGGGCTATCGTATCGATGTTTGCCGAGCAATCGGAGGGGTGCACATTGAGTGCTACCATATACCACATGAAACTGAATGAAATCCTGCATCTGAAGCTACTAACTGTGAAAGATTATTACAATAAAGTTACATGTTATACCTGTCTGAAATCAGGGAGTGTTTATGTGGACACCCTATTATAAAAAACAGAAGTAGATTACAAATGGCAGTTAGAAAACAATGCAAAACAATAAACTATAGATATTTAAAATTTGTGCAGCATATCAGTCATTGATAGATACACAAAGGCACGGTATTGTGCCTTTTGTCCCTCGCAGCCATTGATAGAATCTGCATTCAAGGAGCAACCTTCAGAGAAGATGGTAGACTCGGTATAGCTGGACATTAAAAAAAATGTCAGAATATAGTTACGTATCATCCAATAAAACGCTGGCCAACGTGAGTCTGTAATTCTCAAGAGAGAGGAGCATGGAACCGTTCCATGAAGTGACCACAGGTGAGTCTGGTGTGACCAATGTAAAGTCACGAGAGAAAAATCTTCCACATCTGGAAACGAAGAAGGGGTGAAGGTTCTAAAAGATTTTATTAAACTTACTGGTCACATGTAAAGATCAGTGACCTCGCATGTGCCAAGTCCAGACTGATAAACAATGAAAAAGGAGTAACCTCTCGTGGAAAATTGTTCAGTTCGAATCTGCTCAATGAACAGCTGTCTTTGCAAGATTATTATCTTGAATATTATGTTCACTGAAGATGAAGGAAGTAAGCTGTGAGATTTAAAGAGTCATTTAACCTATGAGATAACTCAGCGCTCTTGGCAATAATAAGGAAGCACGAACATACATGAAAACACTCGAAGTAAAACTAACAAAAATATAACCATACTCAGATTTTGAAATATCCAGCAGTTACAAAACTGTCGAAGAGATGCAAAACCTTACACCTGTGACTAGCTAAGAATACAACTGTAAACAATTAACTTGGTGACTTTGCTAGGAGATCACTGTCGACCATTCACCAGACGAACGTAAGTTTCTCGTCTTTAATGATAGAAAATTTTTGGAGTTCAATCTGACAGCAAATATCATCTGTATATTCTTCAATGTTGGGATACCGTGCGTAGCAGGATGACATCTCTCACGTTGATCGACCAACCGTGATGGGAGTGTCACCCGGAACTTGCAGCTTCGATAGAGCTGAAGACATTTTACGGTAGTGGTGACCGGCAGAAAGACTTCTTCAGACGACACGTGTCGGAGAACGACACATGTTGTCTATTAGTCTATATGCCTAGGTCATATATGTCAACATTATGTGGGTTTCTGCAAAAGATGCTAAAAACCACCACGCTGAGATCATGATCAAAGACAATTTCCGGTCGAGTGACCTTAATGAATGCTTCCACCAGCTACTTGATCTCCACCGAGTGAACCGCAAGTGAAGATCAACGTTGCCGTTGGTGAAGTTCCCAAGCACATAATGGTTAACGTTAAAAGTTATCATCGTCAACGTTGTGTCAAGAGACTTGCATGACATCGCACTAGAGACAAACACCAGTTATGTCCTCATACCCAAAAGTTAGAGTAAGACACATGTGTAACACTGAGAATCAACGACCCCAATGAAAATAAATCACCCTGACTTTTTTGGGGGTTATCCAAGGTAATTTACACAATGTATGATAATCGTACTTATGTGTACCTGTGTCTATATAAACTTACATTTGCCTTCTTTGTCCTTCCCCAAGTTTCATAACTTTGCACTTGGTGGGGCTAAGCTCCAGGAACCATTTGTTGGACCAGGCTTGCAGCCTGTCCAGATCCCTTTGTAGTCGTTCCTGATCCTCGTCCGCTTGTATTCTCACAAGTCTCACGTCGTCTGCAAAAAGAGACACCTCTGACTCGTGCATGGAGCATCCATAACTACTGTATTCACATACGGAGATCGCACAACCAAAAATATATTATATTACCGTAAAGGGGGTAATGTAACCCATTTTTAATCTTCCCAAGATCTTGCTGTAATGATGCTATTTGGCAGATCGTTCCACTCAACAGCTCACTTGCCAAATCAGGCCTTTTCTTTATCCTTTCCAAATCTAAATTTATCCAAGTTTAATCCATTGTTTCGAGTTCTTTCTTGGTTAGATATCCTAAGCACCCTATTTATATCTCATTTATTTCTACCAGTGTTCCACCTGTCAATCTTGATCATGTTTCCCGTCATTGCAGGCTTTTCAAGAGTAGGTTCAGAGCACACAGTCTATCTTGGTAGAAAAGATTCCTTATACCGATTAATTTTGTCAGCTTTCTCTGTAGTTTTCAAACGCCTTATAACCACTATAGTATGGCGACAGACTGGCGTTGATATTTAACCCTTACTAATGATGTATAGAGTGTAGTATATCTGGGACTTCTGTTATTATTATGAACTTCAACACTGCTGTCTTGGTAAAAAAAAATCCTTAATTGGATTTTTCAGGCTCATTTCACATCCAGTATGGATCAGCGGTTCATTCGTTACACTGACTACATGTAAATGTCAGTTATTTTAAATTCCTCCGAAAAAACGACTGTAACTTTCAGACACACACCATCATCTATACATTAATCTTTTATTAATGAAATATTTTGTTCACTGGGAGCCTTCTCAATACAATGGAATAACAAAACTCCCAGTGAACAAAACATTTCTTTCATTTCTGAGCATGTCTTACACACTTAGGTAATAAAAAGACATTACAGCACAATGGAAGCTTTGTAAAGACGTTTTGCTTTCTAAAGACTGTAGATAGTAAGCATAAGCAAGAGAATGTGAAGACGTATGAACTGTGATGTTAGGTTAGGTCAAGAGTGCAGTGTGTTCTGAGGAGCATGTGAGTCAATGATCTCGCTAACTATGAATTACTTTAGTTCTGGGTGATGGTTTCTGTATAAATTGTGTAGAAACACGGCAAGCTGAAAAATGGGACTACAGCATTCGGGTATCTTTATTCTCGAAACGTTTCGCCAGTCAGTGCACTAAACCTTGCAAGTGTAATGATGTACAGAGTTGTGCAATACAGATATACTTTCTCGGATCGCACAGCGACCTAAATAAATCTAGTCTATTTAGTTCTCACAGGAAGATTTCACACTGGGACGTTTGTAAACAACGAACAACATCCAAACTTGTCCAGTGAGTCGACGCTCCTAATCCTAGACAGGTTATCGCCGGAGAGGTGTACTACTAATGGTGCCTAGTAAGTTAGAATGGGGCTTCGTCAGTACCCTCGTCAATTTGCGAGGAGCAATGCCTAAACCCTAGGTAACTGACTTGAGGGGTACCCCCCAGGTTTGTGGATTTTAGGGAATTTATATATACTTGGCCATCCCGGGTTTGAAGGTACAAGGTAAATTAGCTTCCTTCCCTACTCAGAACCTTTAAGGATACTTCTAGATTTCGGAAAAAGAAGTGAGCTGGTTGTATGCATGTACAGAGAAAGCGTATGCATTTGCATTATGAATGAGATCCATTATTTTGATGTAGCTGTCAGTACCCTTGTCAGCGCTGATGATACTGTGATTATCCTCCTCTGTCGTAACACTGACGTGAAAATGTCGGGAGATGATGCGAGGTGGGATCCACTAAGACTGCGGTAAAGAGACTCTTGACATAGTACCTTTTTAATTAAGTTAGTCTTAAGAATGATAATTCCTTGTGGTAAACATCCAGGTATGTTACCTTACACTTGTCTCCTGGGAACCAGAATCAAAGGACCTCAATGGAAATAAGCCATGCATAGTGGTTTGCTTGAGTTACTATTTTTTTTAACTTTCTAGGTTAATAAAACTACGGATAAATGATTCGATACAATCTGCAGTAGAGGATGGTGCGAGCAGAGGTGAGTGTGTGGCGGCGCGGTGCGTGGACCTGTGTTGCTGCCTCCCTGCTGCTGCTCACCTATACTAACACATTCAAGCCTCTCTTACACACACCACCTCGGGAGACACACAACCTCAGTTTCCTTGTAAGTCTGTCGTCACCTGAAGGTTCACTAATTACAGTTATGTAGTCTTAGATTACTCTTTAAGGAAAGGGAGGGCTTGATGCCGGTGACGGGCACTTGATCCAAGGAAAAGAAGTTATCCTCTCGTTCCTTTGATTAAATTTAATTATCTCCTATTCCCCAAGTGCTGTATGACCCCTACTGGTTTAGCGCTTCCTCATGAATATAATATTCTTAGGTTAGATTAATAAAGCTATTTTATATTATGTAAATTTTAGAAATGTTAGATTAGATTGTTATGTTAGGCTACCAAAACCTTTATTATAACAACGTATTGCTTTAGGCAGTGAAGCTAAAACTGAGGTGGATTTATATATATATATATTATATATATATATATATATATATATATATATATATATATATATATATATTATATATATATATATATATACATGCAAAACAACCACTGTGAAAGAATAGAGAAATTCCAAGCGCTTTCGTGACTACTCACATTTCGTGAGTAGTCACGAAAGCGCTTGGAATTTCTCTATTCTTTCACAGTGGTTGTTTTGCATATTCTGATATCACCTGTTTACTGTGATCTTTCTTACTATATATATATATATATATATATATATATATATATATATATATATATATATATATATATATATATATAATATATATATATAGTTCAGTGTAAAGCCACTAATATAAAGTCAGTATCCACAATACATCTAACATCTCAGCTGGAGTCTACACCATCACTGAACAAGGTGTAGTAAAGGTGTGAAGCAGCCCTACACCTCAAGACACCATTCCTGGTTGAAGATTGAGACACTCATGCAACATATAGGAATCTTTATTAAGGAAACATTTCGCCACACAGTAGCTTCATTAGTCCAATACAGAGTTGAAATGGGTTAAGAGAGTAGGAGTGTGAGGTAATCAGTCCCTCAGCTTGGAATCGATGTGTTCAGTTCTTCATTTTGTAGAAAATGCAGCATATGGCCGGAGAAGTTGCTTATATACTGTAGCAGGATGAGGTGGGATCATAGTGGAACCATCCACTAGTCTAAGTAGGTCTTCGTCCAAAGGTTGGACAAGCATTGAAAAATTTCTTGTATCAAGATCCCATGATGTTGCAGTGTCTGACAGTTGTGATAAATGGATTTGAAACCCTTTAATCTTCAACTTGTCGGTTTTCCAAACCATTTATCACATCATTCCTAGACCATAATACTATATATATGCGTATGGAACACACCTCAACAAATCGTGTCATACAATGACCACAACTTGTAATCTGGGACAGTCCAATTTATAATATGTGAGAATAAAAGGGTCAGGAGGAAATATACGGAAGATGCCTACTGAACAGTTATAATACTATAGAGCAAAGCTAAGACACAGTCATACTCGTAAAACCTCTTGTCCAAAATTTCCGACACCTACCAGCGTGTAACCTGATGCAGAAGCACAAGTCTCATAACACAGGCTCTAACCTCACTCTTAACCTCACAGGACGTGAGGTTAACTTGATAAACCTTCCCTTCCTAAATATTGGTATAATAAAAGTTTACGGTGTTTAGAGTCCTGTTTATGCATTTGTCGGTTGTGTAATTATTGACCATACCATCGCCAGATGTACAATCATGTCTTATGAATTGTAGATATGTGTATCGTATATTACAGGAGTCACATCTGCCGTGGTGGGACGGTGGACACTGCAGATGTGATGGGCAGGTGTGTGTCGCTGAGGCCACCACAGAAGTGTCCATTAAGGGTGCGGGTGGCACGTGTGGGCGACGGTCGTGGGCGGCGGGTGACAAGCAGCGGGTGGTGTCCCTCTCCCTATACGGTGACAACCCAGACTACTGGCTGGGACTCAAGGAGATTCTGCATCAGGTGAAACACAATCCTAAGCTCGTAAAATTCTGTTTTGAAATATCCTTAGTTTTGTTACTTTTGGACAAAACCGGATACGTCAACAGTGTGCTGCTTCCCTCAGGTTTTCGTTTATTTCTCTTTCTCTCTCTCTCCCATACACACAGACACACAGCCACACACACACACACACACACACACACACACACACACACACACACACACACACACACACACACACACACACACACACATTGAGGTATATGTGGAGGCAAAAAATGTTATCTATGGAGGCAAAGAAGGGAATGTATGAAAGTATAGTAGTACCAACACTCTTACATGGGTGTGAAGATTGGGTTGTAAATGCTGCAGCGAGGAGGCGGTTGGAGGCAGTGGAGATGTCCTGTCTAAGGGCAATGTGTGGTGTAAATATTATGCAGAAAATTCGGAGTGTGGAAATTAGGAGAAGGTGTGGAGTTAATAAAAGTATTAGTCAGAGGGCTGAAGGGGGTTTGTTGAGGTGGTTTGGTCATTTAGAGAGAATGGATCAAAGTAGAATGACATGGAGAGCGTATAAATCTGTAGGGTAAGGAAGGCGGGGTAGGGGTCGTCCTCGAAAAGGTTGGAGGGAGGGGGTAAAGGAGGTGTTGTGGGCGAGGGGTCTGGACTTCCAGCAAGCGTGCGTGAGCGTGTTAGATAGGAATGAATGGAGACAAATGGTATTTGGGACCTGACGAGCTGTTGGAGTGTGAGCAGGGTAATATTTAGTGAAGGGATTCAGGGAAACCGGTTATTTTATATAACCAGACTTGAGTCCTGGAAATGGGAAGTACAATGCCTGCACTCTAAAGGAGGGGTTTGGGATATTGGCAGTTAGGAGGGATATATTGTGTATTTGTATACGTATATACTTCTAAACTGTTGCATTCTGGGCACCTCTGCAAAAACAGTGATTATGTGTGAGTGAGGTGAAAGTGTTGAATGATGATGAAAATATTTTCTTTTTGGGGATTTTCTTTCTTTTTGGGTCAACATGCCTCGGTGGGAGACGGCCGACTTGTTGAATTATATATATATATATATATATATATATATATATATATAATATATAATATATATATATTTTTAATATATATATATATATATATAATAGGGAGGTACCCCCTTTATAACTGTCCTAGGGCCCCTCATCTCAGAGAAAAGAATAAACTTGCTTCAGGGAAAACTCAAGGTTCTCCTGAACCATATATATATATATATATATATATATATAATATATATATATATATATATTATATATATTAATTATATATATATATTTACTGGAGTTTACCTGGAGAGAGTTTCGGGGGTCAACGCCCCCGGGGCCCGGTCTGTGACCAGGCCCTCCTGGGGATCGCGCCTGATCAACCAGGCTGTTGCTGCTGGCTGCACGCAAACCAACGTACGAGCCACAGCCCGGCTGATCGGGAAAATGACTTTAGGTGCTTGTCCAGTGCAGCTTGAAGACTGCCAGGGGTCTGTTGGTAATCCCCCTTATGTGTGCTGGGAGGCAGTTGAACAGTCTCGGCCCCTGACACTTATTGTATGGTCTCTTAACGTGCTAGTGACACCCTGCTTTTCATTGGGGGATGGTGCATCGTCTGCCAAGTCTTTTGCTTTCGTAGTGAGTGATTTTCGTGTGCAAGTTCGGTACTAGTCCCTCTAGGATTTTCCAGGTGTATATAATCATGTATCTCTCCCTCCTGCGTTCCAGGGAATACAGGTTTAGAAACCTCAAGCGCTCCCAGTAATTGAGGTGTTTTATCTCCGTTATGCGCGCCGCCGTGAAAGTTCTCTGTACATTTTCTAGGTCGGCAATTTCACTGCCTTGAAAGGTGCTGTTAGAGTGCAGCAATATTCCAGCTAGATAGAACAAGTGACTGAAGAGTGTCATCATGGGCTTGGCCTCCCTAGTTTTGAAGGTTCTCATTATCCATCCTGTCATTTTTCTAGCAGATGCGATTGATACAATGTTATGGTCCTTGAAGGTGAGATCCTCCGACATAATCACTCCCAGGTCTTTGACGTTGGTGTTTCGCTCTATTTTGTGGCCAGAATTTGTTTTGTACTCTGATGAAGATTTAATTTCCTCATGTTTACATATCTTGAGTAATTGAAATTTCCATCGTTGAACTTCATATTGTTTTCTGCAGCCCACTGAAAGATTTGGTTGATGTCCGGCCTGGAGCCTGCAGTGTCTGCAATGGAAGACACTGTCATGCAGATTCGGGTGTCATCTGCAAGGAAGACACGGTGCTGTGGCTGACATCCTTGTCTTATGTCGGATATGAGGATGAGGAACAAGATGGGAGCTAGTACTGTGCCTTGTGGAACAGAGCTTTTCACCGTAGCTGCCTCGGACTTTACTCTGTTGACGACTACTCTCTGTGTTCTGTTAGTGAGAAATTATGATCCATCGACCGACTTTCCTGTTATTCCTTTAGCGCGCATATTTTTGCGCTATTACGCCAATGGGTCACACTTGTCGAAGGCTTTTGCAAAGTCTTTTATATATTACATCTGCATTCTTTTTGTCTTCTAGTGCATTTAGGACCTTGTCGTAGTGATCCAGTAGTTGAGACAGACAGGAGCGACCTGTTCTAAACCCATGTTGCCCTGGGTTGTGTAACTGATGGGTTTCTAGATGGGTGGTGATCTTGCTTCTTAGGACCCTTTCAAAGATTTTTATGATATGGGATGTTAGTGCTATTGGTCTGTAGTTCTTTGCTGTTGCTTTACTGCCCCCTTTGTGGAGTGGGGCTATGTCTGTTGTTTTTAGTAACTGAGGGACGACCCCCGTGTCCATGCTCCCTCTCCATAGGATGGAAAAGGCTCGTGATAGGGGCTTCTTGCAGTTCTTGATGAACACAGAGTTCCATGAGTCTGGCCTGGGGCAGAGTGCATGGGCATGTCATTTATCGCCTGTTCGAAGTCATTTGGCGTCAGGATAACATCGGATAGGCTTGTGTTAATCAAATTTTGTGGCTCTCTCATTTAAAAAATTCATTTTGATCTTCGACTCTCAGTCTGGTTAGCGGCCTTTGCTAAAAACTGAGTCATATTGGGACTTGAGTAGCTCACTCATTTCCTTGCTGTCATCTGTGTAGGACCATCTTTTTAAGTTAGGGGCCCAATACTGGGCGTTGTTCTCGATTTTGATTTGGCATAGGAGAAGAAATACTTTGGGTTTCTTTCGATTTCATTTATAGCTTTTAGTTCTTCCCGCGATTCCTGACTCCTAAAGGATTCTTTTAGCTTAAGTTCGATGCTTGCTATTTCTCTGACCAGTGTCTCCCTGCGCATTTCAGATATATTGACCTCTTTTAGCCGCTCTGTTATTCTTTTCCGTCGCCTGTAAAGGGAGCGCCTGTCTTCTTTTCTATTTTACATCTACTCCTCCTTTTTCTTAGAAAAATAAGCCTTGTGAAAACATCGAGTGCCACCGAGTTAATTGTTCTAGGCATAAGTTTGGGTCTGTGTTGCTTAGTAAATTTATTTATATATTAATAAATATATATATATAATATATTATAATTATAATATAGGGGGTACCCCTTTATAACTGTCCTAGGGCCTATCCTAGGAAAAGAAAAAACTTGCCAGGGAAAACTCAAGGTTCTCCCAAACCATATTATTTATAATATAATATTTTATTTTTTTTAATTATAAATTATAATAATATATTAAATTAAATATAAATATATATATATATATGCACAACGGGGAAATACCCCAAACAGGGAATACAGTACAAAAAACCCAAGGCAAACGGAAAACCTAGCCTGGCACTACTATGCCTGGGTATCTGCGGGCATGGGAAATCGGAAAACAGATGGGACGTGCAACTTGCCCCTGGGAAAATCCCATGCCTATGACCAAAAAAAAAGAAAACCCCCTTTCCTGTAAGCTTTTTCCCCGGAACTGGTACCTTCAGTCGGGAAAAAGACTGTGCTAAAACTTAAATTGCCGGCATACCATCTAAAGGGGACAAAAAGATACAAAACACCCCGGCCAGGGGGAAAACCTGGGTAGCCACAGCCACTAAGAGGGAGAGGTTTTTTTGTCCCAAATGAAGGAAAAAAAACTGGCAGGAAAATGGCAGAAATCGAAACCCCAAAATCCAGTCATTCCTGGGTGGAAACCACAGCGTGCCTCCACTCCAAACCACAGATACAGAACAAATGCCGGAAAAAAAATCCCCCCCCCATACCAACAATACCACCAGTCCGAAAACTTCTTCTTTGCAAATAAAGGGTCTAAACCGCAACAACAACAAATTCCTTTTCATCCGGGGGATGTTCCCAGAGGAAAAAGGCAATGTTCGCGGTTTATTGGACCCCACATAAAGGATCATTTGGGGACAACAAAAATATGGTCCCAGGTTTAACCTATACAGAGTGACAGAGTAAACAGGAAAAAAGGAAAGGGGGTTGGGGCCTGTACATTGCAGAGTATTGTTTGCACGAATCTAAATGCCTCAAATGATGTATGGAAGTTTTTAGCAGTAAAGGGTTTCGAGAACCAAAACCCCTAGTCTTTTGTGATAGTCTACAAGCCTCCGGTGCAAATCCCACAATTCCGGGAAAACAGTTTAAAATTGCCCATGTCTGGAAAACCCCCCACCTCCTGCCCCCAAACATCTTGCTCCTGGGGGATTTCAACTTAAGGCACCTAAAATGGGGAATATAGCAAATAATATTGTTGCAGTAAAAACACCAGGAGGCAGCTCTGATGAAAACTCACACTCACGCGAGTTTTTTAAATCTCTGCACAAAATTCAATTTAAACCAGCAAATAATAGAGCCTACTAGACTGGAGAATACACTAGAACCTCATCTTCACTAACAAGATGATCTGATAAGAAATATCCCCATATAAAAAAACAATATACTCAGATCACAACATAATTGAGGTTCAGTTCATGTATGCGCGGAGCCCAGACCGCCTTTATGAGATTGGGTCACGAGGGAGCATTCCCCAAAATTCAACTTCAATAACAAAAACATAAAGTGGGACCAAGTAAACCAAGTCCTAACCGATATAAGCTGGGAAGATATACTAAGCAACACAGACCCCAACTTATGCTAAAAACAGATTAACTCGTGGCACTCGATGTATGCACAAGGCTTATTCCTCTAAGAAAAAGGAGGAGTAGATGTAAAACAGAAAGAGACAGGCGCTCCCTTTACAGGCGAGGGAAAAAAAGAATAACAGAGCGGCTTAAAAGAGGTCAATATATCTGAAATGCGTGGGGAAAGACACTGGTCAGAGAAATAGCAAGCATCGAACTTAAGCTAAAAGAATCCTTTAGGAGTCAGGAATCGCGGGAAGAACTAAAAGCCATAAATGAAATCAAAAGAAACCCAAAGTATTCTTCCTATGCCAAATCAAAATCGAGAAAAAACGCCAGTATTGGGCCCCTACTTAAACAAGATGGGTCCTACACAGTTTGACAGCAAGGAAATGAGTGAGCTACTCAAGTCCCAATATGACTCAGTTTTTAGCAAGCCGCTAACCAGACTGAGAGTCGAAGATCAAAATGAATTTTTTTTGAGAGAAGCCACAAAATTTGATTAACAAAGCCTATCCGATGTTATCCTGACGCCAAATGACTTCGAACAGGCGATAAATGACATGCCCATGCACTCTGCCCCAGGGCAGACTCATGGAACTCTGTGTTCATCAAGAACTGCAAGAAGCCCCTATCACGAGCCTTTTCCTCCTATGGAGAGGGAGCATGGACACGGGGGTCGTCCCACAGTTACAAAAAAAACAGACAAGCCCACTCCACAAAGGGAGCAGTAAAGCAACAGCAAAGAACTACAGACCAATAGCACTAACATCCCATATCATAAAAATCTTTGAAAGGGTCCTAAGAGCAAGATCACCACGCATCTAGAAACCCCTCAGTTACACAACCCAGGGCAACATGGGTTTAGAACAGGTCGCTCCCGTCTGTCTCAACTATTGGACCACTACGACAAGGTCCTAAATGCACTAGAAGACAAAAAGAATGCAGATTTTAATATATACAGACTTTGCAAAAGCCTTCGACAAGTGTGACCATGGCGTAATAGCGCACAAAATGCGTGCTAAAGGAATAACAGGAAAAAGTCGGTCGATGGATCTATAATTTCCTCACTAACAGAACACAGAGAGTAGTCGTAACAGAGTAAAGTCCGAGGCAGCTTACGGTGAAAAGCTTGTTCCACAAGGCACAGTACTCGCTCCCATCTTGTTCCTCATCCTTATATCCGACATAGAAAAGGGGATTGTCAGCCACAGCACCGTGTCTTCCTTTGCAGATGACACCGAATCTGCTTTGACAGTGTCTTCCATTGCAGACACTGCAAAGCTCCAGGCAGACAATAAAACCAAATCTTTCAGTGGGCTGCAGAAAACAATATGAAGTTCAACGATGAGAAATTTCAATTACTCAGATATGGTAAAACATGAGGAAATTAAATCTTCATCAGAGTACAAAACAAATTTGGCCACAAAATAGAGCGAAACACCAACGTCAAAGACCTGGGAGTGATCAGTCGGAGGATCTCACCTTCAAGGACCATAACATTGTATCAATCGCATCTGCTAGAAAAATGACAGGATGGATAATGAGAAAACCCTTTAAAAAATAGGGAGGCCAAGCCATGATGACACTCTTTAGGTCACTTGTTTATCTAGGCTGGAAATTGCTGCACACTAACAGCACCTTTCAAGGCAGGTGAAATTGCCGACCTAGAAAATGTACAGAGAACTTTCACGGCGCGCATAACGGAGATAAAGCACCTCAATTATTGGGAGCGCTTGAGGTTCCTAAACCTGTATTCCCTGGAACGCAGGAGGGAAAGATACATGATTATATACACCTGGAAAATCCTAGAGGGACTAGTACCGAACTTGCACACGAAAATCACTCACTACGAAAGCAAAAGACTTGGCAGACGATGCACATCCCCCCAATGAAAAGCAGGGGTGTCACTAGCACGTTAAGAGACCATACAATAAGTGTCAGGGGCCCGAGACTGTTCAACTGCCTCCCAGCACACATAAGGGGGATTACCAACAGACCCTGGCAGTCTTCAAGCTGGCACTGGACAAGCACCTAAAGTCAGTTCCGGATCAGCCGGGCTGTGCTGTACGTTGGTTTGCGTGCAGCCAGCAGCAACAGCCTGGTTGATCAGGCTCTGATCCACCAGGAGGCCTGGTCTCAGACCGGGCCGCGGGGCGTTGACCCCCGGAACTCTCTCCAGGTAAACTCCAGGTATATATATATATATATATATATATATATATATATATATATATATATATGGTTCAGGGAGAACCTTGAGTTTTCCCTGAAGCAAGTTTATTCTTTTTCTCTGAGGATGAGGGTCCCTAGGACAGTTATAAAGGTGGTAACTCCCTATATTATATATATATATATATATATATATATATATATATATATATATATATATATATATATATATATATATATGAGAAGGCTACAGCGAAAAGCTCTGTTCCACAAGGTACAGTACTCTCCCCCATCCTTTTCCACATCCTCATCATATCTGACATGGAGATGTAAGCCACAACACCGTGTCCTCCTTTGCTGACGCTACCAGAATTTGCATGACAGTGTCCTCCATCGAGGACACTATAAATCTCCAAGTGGACATTAACCAAGTCATTAAATGGGTGTCAGAAAACAATATTAAGTTCAATGAAGACAAATTTCAGTAATCAGCTATGGAAAACTCGAGGATATAAAAACTGTATCGTAGTATAAAACAAATTCCAAACACACAATAGAGCGAAAAACTAATGTGAAGGACCCAGGAGTGGTAATGTCAGAAGCTCTCACTTTCAAAGATCACAACAATGTATCTACAACATCTGCTAGGAGAATGATAGGATGGATAATGAGAACATTCAGACCTAGGGATGCCGAGCCAGTGATGATTATCTTCAAATCGCTTGCTCTTTCTAGGCTGGAATATTGCTGAACACTGACGGCCCCTTTCAAGGCAGGTGAAATTGCAGACCTGCAGAATGTACAGATAACTTTCAATACATATATAAGCACCATAAAGCACCTAAATTACTGGGAACGGTTGAAGGCCCTTGACCTGTACTCCTTGGAACGCAGGCGAGATACATGATAATATACACCTAGAAAATCCTAGAGGGAGTAGTCCCAAATCTAGACACGGAAATCACTCCCTACGAAAGCAAAAGACTCGGCAGACGGTGCAACATCCCCCCAATGAAAAACAAGAGGTGCCATGAATACGGTAAGAGACAACACAGTAAATGTCAGGGGCCCAATGCCTCCCAGGATACATAAAGATTACCAATAGGCCCCTGACTGTCTTCAAGAGGGAGCCGGACAGACACCTAGAGTCAGTACCTGACCAGCCGGGCTGAGGTTTGTACGTTGGTTTGCGTGCGGCCGTCAGTAACGCCTGGTTGACCAGGCCCTAATCCACCGCAAGACCTGCTCATGAACGGGGCCACGGGGTCATTGACCCTCGGAATACCTTCCAGGTAAACATATATACATACATTATACAATATGAATTTGCATACAATTAGGCTGCTAATAAGTACTGACAAATTTCTAGGTAAGATAGTCCAATACCATACAAGACATTAAAATATATTTGAATCACATTTTATTAATATATACTATTGGGCCAAATAGTAGGGGACTAAGGTAATATAATCTTTCCAACCATACAACCAGACAGTCACAAATAAAATATATATTTTTGGTAAGAATCTACTGTAGTTTTATTAATATTTTTATTACTATTATTTTTATTCATGGGAGCTCCTAAGCCCATACAGTGACTGGGGACTGAAAGGTAATCATATTTCTTTCAAGGAGTCAACCTAAATTTAGTTAATACTACTTAACACATGAACTATTATTTTCAAGATGTTGTTAGCACATACTCGATAGGTTATGGAAATATTAATTTTACATACGTCACTGTCTGAAAACTAAATTGTTGCTTTAATATGCCACGTATTGCTAACTCACAATAAAATGCACCCGAGTTGACCTGGCGAGGCTGGTCGTATGGCTCGTATCCTGGGAAAGGATCTAAAATGGATTCCAACGGAAATAAGCTACAATGTTTGCCTTTCTTATTCGCCCTTCGGGATTATTAATCCGAATCCGAAATGCTCCGGCATGACAGGGGTTTTCTTTGTACCAATCAAGTTATGAAATGTAAAAACACATGGCAACCTTTGCAAAGAAATAAACTTTTGTGTGTTTGTAATAAAGTGTTCTATTATGTACAGGTGGGCGTCATGTACCCCGGGTGGATGGTGCGCCTCTACACCGTGCCTCACGCCCACGCCACCCACCTCTGCCCACTCCTGAATCTCTACACCAACTTCTATGTTTGCGACATCACGAACCTTCCGCCACCACTGGGCAACATATCACATGTTCATCCCATGATGTGGCGCATCGCACCCCTGGGAGACCCACAAGTGACGGCGCTCATGGTCAGGGACTCAGACTCACAGGTGTTGTCTCATTTCTTGTTTTTGTATTCGTCAGGAAGAATAACCTAACACTATCCATCATAATATGTGCCATGTTAAGCATATTTATGGAGAAAGTAACAAGGTCATTAGAGTTAAATATGTTACGCTCTTGCCTCACACCGAGTGTCCGTGGTTCAATACCCAGCATGGGTAAAAATGTTAGGCATGTTTCCGTACACCTGTTGTCCCTGCTCACCTAGCAGTAACCACGGTAGGCACTTGGGTGTTAGTCGACTGGTGTCGGTGGCATCCTGAGAGTCAGATTGAAGGACCACAATGGAAATAAGGCCAACAGCCCTCGATGACGCACTGACTTTCTTGGATTATCCTGGGTGGCTGACACTTCGGGTTAAAAATCCGAACAATTCTTATCTTATCTTAACTAAGGCTAGGTTATAAGTATCTCTGGTAGTATGGTTTATGTATAGACGCCAATAACAACAAATGCAAAGTGTGTGAACAGAGACAGTGCCGTACACTGGAACACTATATCCATGCAAACTACCAGATATAAGTCACCCGTTTACATTACATTGAATTATTGACGGGTAATTCTACTTGAATATTGGTTAATCTAACCTAATAAAAAATATTAAATTCCCTTAATGAGTTCTGTCGAGGAGAAAAGAATGCATGACAATTCAGTTACAAATGAAAAAAAAAAAAAAAAAAACTGCGACTCCACTACTGTTACGGTCAGCCAGGAACTGAGGCCACGTTGTTCTTGGCGCCACTGTGACTAGGCCTCCCTCTCACCTCACCTATTATATATTTTTTACATATTGTGTTGTATATAAAAATAATTTTTCCCACCAAGGAAGGGTGATTCAACGAAGGAAGTACATTCAACACTGCTCATTCAATAGCTGTTTTGCGAGAAGTGCCCTGACATCATGATTCACATGACCCTCTGTACCACAACATGACAACACATTCTTCAGCATACATTATTATCATGGGAAAAGTGGTCAACTTATAAAGATCATACAAGGTATATTTCCGCCTCCTGTGGTTTAATTCAACATAGACACACGGCCAGAGGCCAGGAGCTATGAATCGATCCCTGCAACCACAAATAGGTGAGTACACAGGGAAAAATGATTAGCAAATACCACTAGGTGTAGGAGTGCAAATGTGGTTAATGTAAGACGGACTGTTTTTATCACTTAACATGACAGAAAAAATCTGGCGATATGGTTAATGTGATTTATCTTAGGTGAGTGAACGAGAGCGGGCGGCCGTGAAGGCGTGGCTGGAGTCAGGTAAACATTTCCATGTAATGAGGGACCATCCAAGTCACGATGTACACATTCTGGGAGGCATGTGGGGTGCTCGCTGGGACCAACGTCTTCAATACCAACGTGAGAACGCCCTCTTGCTCTCCTCTATCAGGAATGAGATGCTCGAGGATGCTCAAGGAATGACCAAGTACGGGGAAGATCAGCAAATCTTAACTGTAAGTAATCAATGCAAATGAAATCAGAGACTATAAAACAGATTAATATAAATAAAATCATGTAAGAGGGAGGACTGATCCTAGATAACCACCTGTCGGTGTTACTCTTGGATCACCACCGCTAAGTATTGTATATTTCGACCCTACATTTACCTTTCATTGTCTTTATGTGAGTTCGTTTGTGTGTATGGGATACTGCATAACGTACATACGTATAGTTGCTGTTTAGTGATTTTAAGCTTTACATTTTGTATAATTATTTATTAATAGAAAACCATCATATATGTTCCCAATTAAAATCCAAACGATGAGGACCCCACTGGAAAAAAAATAGGTTAAATGTATATAATTTATCAACAATGTCTATAATCAATATGCTTATTATAACCACTGCACAAAAAATGTTATATAATCTGTAACACTATTTGTAGTTTACCTGAATAACACTATCTTATTCGATTAAAGCCGCGGGGGCGTTGACCCCCGAAACCCTCTCCAGGTATACTGATAGAGGTCTTTTTTGTGTATATATCATATCCTTTTCGTTGTTAATTTTTGTATGAGTGTGTAACAAAGAGGGTTGTTCAGAAGAGGTTGTGGCCACTGATGGTGGGTCGGGTGTTGGCCCATGATAGTTACTGCTGCCTGCTTTTCCGAGGGACGACACCCTGGCCAACACAGAGGATAGATGGCTACTTCGTGGGATCCCCCAGGTAGGTGGTATCTTTCTGAGGTAACAAGATTATTATTATAATCAAAACTAAGCGCTAAATCCACCAGCGTCATACAGCACTGAGATAACAAAAGAATGCCTCTTGGAAATAAGTCACTCTGTCTGACTTTTTTGGGTTATCCCAGGTTCTCTACACATATGCTGCTATGTATGATAATTCTATGTAACTGTATTTGTGTATACCTGAATAAACTTACTTACTTACTTACTTACTTAGCATGAAAGCTGATGTTTTTTACCGGAAGGTTTAAATTAGATTCGGGCTGTGAACGTTTTAATTTTACATTTTTTACTGAAGGGATTGAGATAACAACTTCAATATGACGACTTGTATCTTGTATCTTGTTCAGACCAGAGCTTTGGTGAGATGGGGAAGGAAGAAGGATGGGTAAGGATGGAAATATTGGAAAAGGGTGGGAGGGGGTGAGAGGTAGGATATAAAGGTAAGTGGCCCAACCACTTTGGTGCAATTTAAAAAGTGTACGTGAAATGATAATATATTTATTTAAGGGGTATAAGACTAACCCATCAGAGTCACATAGATATAACAGATATATAAGTACATGACTCTGAATTGGTAGTAATTATACAGGTTGCAATTGCTTTTTTTTTTTTTTTTTTTTTTTTTTTTTTTTTTTTTGACGACGACGACTTGTGAATACCTCTTCTGATTCGCTTCAAATATTTATTGCTAATATTTAACTCCACTATTACAGTCGTGTGCACTGAGGTACACAGGATAATTTTGCTATTGCTCCGACTTACAAGAAAACAATATAAAATACAAAGATACAATAGAAACATTATATGTAATCATAGAATATGTATAAAAACTACAATTACATATACCACAACCAACAGAGCAATTGCCTTTATTGCAATTATTACTACTACTACTACTACTACTAATATTATCAGTGTCAGTAATTTCAGATACTACTATAATTATTTCCAATATTACTGATAAAAACATTTGCAATACCATTACTGTAACTATTGCTATAACTACCAATGTTGCTACTTCAACCACTGGTGATAAAATCACCATCATTATCGCTGATAATCGCGATACAAACACGATATTCTCCCAGCCGATCTACACAACAAGTAAAAACGCTAATATAAATATTTTTCAATTGCTTTCAGTTTTCGGAAGGAATATAAAAATCAGACGGTGCCCAAACCATGTCCAGTGAGATGTCGTCCCAAACAACACAGGGATTGGATTTACTGTTGAGTGTCTAGCAGTCTACACACGCTGTCTATATCCATATCCATTATTATTATTATTATAAAAAAGAAGTGCTAAACCTACAAGGGTCATACAGCGCAGTAAACCCATATCCAGACCTCAAATTTATAATCACCAAATAAACTTTTTTTTTTATCAACTTTAACTTTTTTTTTTCTCATGGTGGCTCTATGTATAGGCAATGTTTTCAAATGGTGATGTGGTCCTCCAACAACTCCGTAATGGTGAACCTGTATATGGATAGCTCCCGGATTTAACGTCGAGGATCTCCAACAACAGCTCACTACAGTTGAGCTTTCAATCAAATTTGTACTAGAGGAACATAACGGCAACCTTTCTTCCCCTGGTGTCCGTTTATATAAATACGATGATAAACTGTCATTCACAGTGCATCGGAAACCTATCAACAAGGATGATGTGATACACTTTCTTTGATTACAAATCGAAACAAGGAGAGGCCACTTGGTTTTTCCTTAAGACTTGCAGGACCTACAGTCCTAAAATACCTTGAGGAAGAGTGTCATGTCACCCACCACGTCATTCTAAATTGAAATTTCCATCATACTTTGTCAGCGACTGTTGGTGACGTACACGGTGGATCCTGAACCCCCTAAGACTGACGTGTCCTAGGTCAGTTTTTAGTTCTGCCAAACAGCAAAATGGCGAGCAATATCTCTCACGACTTTTCTAATTGTGGCCGGAGAGTGATGAGCATCGTCAGCACCATAATCAAGGATCTCATCAGTAACAAACCTAAAATCCTTATCGATACCAAGGCCAGGAAGCTGCAGTATCAGTCGTCAGCTATTACCAAAAATACAAATGTAAATAACCAGCTTGTTTATTTCCTTTCCATTTAATAAAATTCTTTTGGGTAAAATTTTATATAAAATAAAGTATTTTCATGTGATGTGAGCACTATACTTTAACAATGGTTCCACACAACTCAGGATATAAATAACCATAATTTAAACCTAGAAGATGATTGATCACGTTGACCCTGATCTAAACCTCCATAATCTGACACACAATCAAAACCTATTGGAAAGTAACTGCCTTTATTACACAGCATCACAAGCCAGCACTATCCTAAACAATGCTAAAAGTCTATCAGTACTTAACTACATCAGGTCCTTAAGCAAGCACTATGATGACCTCCTGGCACTCCTTGAATCACTAAAGACACCCTTCTCCTGCATTATTCTTACTGAGTGGCTTAGCGCTTTTTTTGATTATAATAATAATAATATTCTTACTGAGACCTGGCTTAAGCAGGACACAATAGATATCTACCCTCTACCAGGATACACAGCAATTCACAACTGCAGACCAAACCAAGTTGAGGGTGGTATTGCAATCTATTACTCTAACCAATTATCTTGTATTAGCACCACTTGCTTTAGTGATGAATATGGGGAATACATTTTTGCTAATTTTACTGTAAAAAACCTTAAGACACCTATAACAATCGGTGCCATTTACCGGATACCTCACACAAACATCCCAAATTTCAGTGAGAAATTAAAGTCACTAATAACAAACAGACAAATGAATAAGCACCACCTTCTCTTAGCTGGAAGACTTCAACATCAACCTTGGCATACTAGATGATCAGCCTGTAACTGATTTCATCAACAATATGAACAACACACTTCTCATACCAACAATAACTAAACCAACCAGGCTCACTGAGACAAGTGCAACCATAATAGACCACATATGGACCAATATACTAGCCCCCCTTAAATCAGGGATAATCACAGATAGCACTACAGACCACTACCCTACCTTCCTCCTGACAAACATAAGTAAACCACCACTTGAATACAACAAAGTCTCATTTAGACTCCATGACGAGGCCTCAATATGGAAGTTCACAGCTGACCTAGAGACTGTTGACTGGCCTACAGAATTCTCCAAGGCCAATGGTATTGACGACTGGACAGACATTTTTCTTAACAAATTACTTAGACTATACAACAAACATTGTCCTATAAAAACAAAACAGATCACAAACAAACGGCTTGGTTGCCCAGTGTGACCATGGCGTAATAGCGCACAAAATGCGTGCTAAAGGAATAACAGGAAAAGTCGGTCAATGGATCTATAATTTCCTCACTAACAGAACACAGAGAGTAGTCGTCAACAGAGTAAAGTCCGAGGCAGCTACGGTGAAAAGCTCTGTTCCACAAGGCACAGTACTCGCTCCCATCTTGTTCCTCATCCTCATATCCGACATAGACAAGGATGTCAGCCACAGCACTGTGTCTTCCTTTGCAGATGACACCCAAATCTGCATGACAGTGTCTTCCATTGCAGACACTGCAAGGTTCCAGGCGGACATCAACCGAATCTTTCAGTGGGCTGCAGAAAACAATATGAAGTTCAACGATGAGAAATTTCAATTACTCAGATATGGTAAACACGAGGAAATTAAATCTTCATCAGAGTACAAAACAAATTCTGGCCACAAAATAGAGCGAAACACCAACGTCAAAGACCTGGGAGTGATCATGTCGGAGGATCTCACCTTCAAGGACCATAACATTGTATCAATCGCATCTGCTAGAAAAATGACAGGATGGATAATGAGAACCTTTAAAACTAGGGAGGCCAAGCCCATGATGACACTCTTCAGGTCACTTGTTCTATCTAGGCTGGAATCTGCTGCACACTAACAGCACCTTTCAAGGCAGGTGAAATTGCTGACCTAGAAAATGTACAGAGAACCTTCACGGCGGCGCGCATAACGGAGATAAAACACCTCAATTACTGGGAGCGCTTGAGGTTCCTAAAACTGTATTCCCTGGAATGCAGGCGGGAGAGATACATGATTATATACACCTGGAAAATCCTAGAGGGACTAGTACCGAACTTGCACACGAAAATCACTCACTACGAAAGCAAAAGACTTGGCAGACGATGCAACATACCCCCAATGAAAAGCAGGGGTGTCACTAGCACGTTAAGAGACCATACAATAAGTGTCAGGGGCCCGAGACTGTTCAACTGCCTCCCAGCATACATAAGGGGGATTACCAACAGACCCCTGGCAGTCTTCAAGCTGGCACTGGACAAGCACCTAAAGTCGGTTCCTGACCAGCCGGGCTGTGGCTCGTACGTTGGTTTGCATGCAGCCAGCAGCAACAGCCTGGTTGATCAGGCTCTGATCCACCAGGAGGCCTGGTCACAGACCGGCCGTGGGGGCGTTGACCACCGGAACTCTCTCCAGGTAATGGCTAACCAGCACCATTCTGAAATCCATTGACAAGAAACACCAATATGAAAAGCAATATAGACAGGGCTTGATACACAAAGATATTCTTAAACACTATTCATCAGTTCTCACCAAAGTAATAAAGAAAGCCAAACAACTATACTTCTCCAGTAAATTCGCAGACACTAGAGGAGATATAAAAAAGACCTTGAAAACACTCTCTCAGATTCTAGGGACCCACAAACTGAAAAAAAAACAAGAATATTGTCCTAACTAAACCTAATGAAACACCACTACATCCCACTGACACAGCTAACAAGATAAACGACTTCTTCTTAACCATAGGATCTAATCTCGCCAATAAAATCCCACATACCAATGCCCATGCTGGGGACTACCTAGATGGGAATTTCCCAAATTCCTTCTATCTTACACCAACTGAGCCCACGGAAGTCACCGAGATTATAAAGTCACTTAAAAATAACTCAGGTAATCTGTCTCATGTCCCACCATTACTGTACAAGCGAGCGGCCCATATCCTTTCGCATGCTATTTCATTACTTTTTAACAAGTCACTAGAAACTAGCACCTTCCCGAAACTACTCAAGATGGCAAGGGTTACACCAATACATAAAGGTGGTGACCCTACAGACTTAAACAACTATAGGCCAATATCAAACTTACCATTGCTATCCAAAATCTTTGAAAAACTCGTGCACAGGAGACTATATTCATTTATAACGGCACAAAACATACTCAACCCCTGCCAATTTGGATTCAGAAAAAATAAAAGCACTAATGATACAATCATAAAAATGCTAGATCTGCTTTACACAGCATTGGAAAATAAGGAATATCCACTAGGAATTTTTATTGACCTAAGAAAAGCTTTTGACACAGTAGACCACGACATCCTACTCCACAAACTTGACCATTACGGTATAAGAGGCCATGCGCTTGCTTATTTCAAATCTTACCTTACTAATAGGTATCAGTATGTCACCATTAAAGACACAGCATCAATAACACGGCCACTTGATACTGGAGTTCCGCAGGGAAGTGTCCTTGGTCCCCTGCTCTTCCTCATATACATCAATTATCTTCCAAACGTTATCCCAACACCTGAAACCCATTCTCTTTGCTGACGACACGACTTATGTCATTCTCTCACCCTAATCTTGCCACCCTCACACACCATTGTTAACGAGGAGCTGATCAAAATATCGACTTGGATGACAGCCAATAAACTACGCTTAACACTGACAAAACCTACTATATTATGTTTTGGTAGCAGAGCAGGAGATGCACAAATTAACATTAAGATGGACAACACTCTAATTACCAGACATAATGAGGGCAAATTCCTAGGCCTATACCTTGACAACAACCTGAATTTCAGCACCCATATCCAACACATAACCAAAAAAGTATCCAAAACGGTTGGGATCCTCTCCAAGATACGATACTACGTGCCGCAAAATGCCCTTCTCACACTATACCACTCGCTTATTTTTCCATACCTCACCTATGCTATTTGTGCTTGGGGATCAACTGCAGCAAACACACCTAAAGCCAATAATAACCCAACAAAAGCTGCAGTAAGATTAATCACTAAATCCCATCCCTGGCAACACCCCCCCCCCACTCTTCATAGATCTAGACTTACTCCCTGTTCAGTACATCCACACTTACTACTGTGCAATCTACATCTACAGGACCTTAAACTCCAATATCAACCTTGACCTAAAACGCTTTCTTGATAGTTGTGACAAGAACCCACAGGCATAACACCAGACACAAACATCTCTACGACATTCCCCGTGTCCGACTAAACCTTTACAAAAATTCAATGTATGTCAAAGGCCCTAAAAATCTGGAACACCCTACCTGAGAACTCTAGAACTGCAGACACATTCATCACCTTCAAAACTACCATTAGAAAACATCTTATCTCCCTGATACACCCCGTCAACTAACTACACGAATACCACCTGGTGGTTCACACTTACACTCAACCCATTTGACCATAAACAGAAATATTAATCTCAATCTTAAAATAATGAATCCTGTGATACTCCAATACTGAAACTATGTACTGTGCCAAAACAAAAGCATTCACATTGCTAAACTCACAAACTAGTATTTAGTCACTTAGCCATAATACCAACTTACCTCATAATTTGTAATATTTTAAAATTAAGAATTAAACTAAGTCTGCCCGAAATGCCTAGCCATGCTAGGTGTTCTAGTGGTACACTCTGTAATCATTATTTAACTACATGTAAACCACACAATAACCAAATTCTGTAAACTCAGCATTGTAATCCTTATAGAGAATAAACTTTGAATTGAATTTGTTTGCATCATCGTGTGATATGACTCGTATATATTCACAGCTGCAGCTCATTCTCCCACCAACAATGATAAGTGTTCAGAAATCAATGTTGACTATTTTTCCTATGCCACCTTGTTGCCAGACGTATACCTGGAGTTCACCTGGAGAGAGTTCCGGGGGTCAACGCCCCCGCGGCCCGGTCTGTGACCAGGCCTCATGGTGGATCAGGGCCTGATCAACCAGGCTGTTACTGCTGGCTGCACGCAATCCAACGTATTTGTGCTTAAATATACGTTTTTGTAGGTACATGTATATGCCTAACTTAAGCCAAACTAGCTTAACACAACCCAGCTCAATCTAACCTAACCGATCCAAATTAACTGAGCTTAGTTTAAAACAAAGAAAATAACATTTGAGGAATGAGCAGAAGTTTTAAGAAATTGACGTTGAGTACTACGACACAAAGATGACACAGTAAAATGAGAATGAGTTTTTAACAAAAAGACACAAGAAACAAATTTATAAAGCAACAATTGAGACCAAACAAGGTAGTTTATAGAAAATTTTACCTTTAAGTAATAATGCATCACCTGTGCAGCAGACTTTCTTCAATTGTTACTTGTATGTTTTATCTACTACAACTTGTTGGTATACCCTTACCACTTGCTCTTAATAGGTACCTGGATGTGGAAAAGTTGGACTTACTCTCCCGTTTCTTAAGACAAACTTGATTACTTTCCATTCAACAAAGTTTAGCGTTTCCTCATGATTATTATAAAATAGACAACGTGCATATAGTATATTTTTTTGTACCTCTATATGTATGCTCAAATTGTAAATAAATAAATAAATAAATAAATAAAAATAGGTTTAGAATATGCAGAAGTGTGGTGTCCACACCTAAAAAAAAAATAGTCTGAAAACATGCTACACCTTTCAAAAAGTGTAAATGGCTCTTGATCCCAGGAATTGGAGCTACTCACGCATTTTTGGGATCAAACCTGATTGACTCCTGTTCCTCATTGAGGTGCCCAAACACCGGTAAAGGGTTATTAATTGTAGGTTCTGGAGGTTACACACTGCCCATTCCCAGACTAGGCCTTCTGGTTACTGGCTTGATCGATCAAGCTGTTGGTACCCGCCTCCTGCAGTCCGACGTATGCACCACAACTGACTGATCAAGAAATGAATCGATATACTAATTATGAGGTTTAGTCTAGATAATATTTGTTGGAATTTTTAACCCAGGTAAGGGTTAGCCACCCAGAATAACCCAAGAAAGTCAGGGCGTCTTCGAGAATTGTCTTATTTCTATTGGCGTCCTTTAATCTTGCTCCCCAGGATGCGACCCACAGCAGTCGACTAACACCCAGGTACCTACTTACTGCTAGGTAAACAGGGATAGCCGGGGATTGTGTGTGAGGCGAGATTACTGCCTACCGAGCCACGGGACACAGGTAGCTGATACCCAACTAATTGGGCCTATCATCCCGTTTCTAAAACAGAACCTTTTTATTTCCCATTACCTAGGTGCTACATGATCTCTACGGATTTAGAGCTCCATGATTGAATAAAATCAGACAAAGCGTGGCACATATATCTCAACAAAACGTATGACCGGTTTTCTTAAAAGCCGTACATTAGCAGCACCGAAAACGACCTAGTGCTTGAAGCCGAGGAAGGAGGAAAGAGGAACAAGCATCCTTAAAATACGAAAATTGAATTGTCACTGTTGTCCAGGCCAGATCAAGATATTCGCATTCATTATTTTGTTAGGCTAAAACCTATTTTATCTATCAACTAACTGCACGTATCCATAAGCACGTGATACACAAATAACCGGCACATAGAAGAGAGGAGCTTACGACGACGTTTCGGTCCGACTTGGACCGAAACGTCGTCGTATGCTCCTCTCTTCTATGTGCGGGTTATTTGCGTATCATTCCAGTCACGGTATTGTGCCTTTTTTTGTTATTTAAGCGCGTGATACATTAAAGGTTATTATTCACCTGTACTAATATACATGTTTCATTCTCTGAAATAGTTATTTAAGAAACTTGTCAGTGTATATATACAATTTATATATGCACTTCTCAGTATATATATCCTGTATTCACATTCGACTGAAGTCCCAAAAATATTATGACTGTCACGTCGTCTGCATGTGTACTACTTGCAGGAGTCCATGTCAGACTCGAAAATAGTTAAAACTCTTCAGCAACACAATATAATAATTTTAAGTAAGTCATACTCAGAATTAATTTAAGCAAGGTTATATTACAGCCGGATTAACAATAACTGCTAGCAATTTTGCTTGCAGTTAAGGGACTGCGAAATTTATACTCCGTAGCGGAGACTGACTTAACTCGGGCATTCCATGATAACCTGTTACGCATCACTTTTACTTCCTCTTGTTAAGTTTACCTTGCTTTGTGTAGTCTGTGTGCCTGTCACAACATGAAAATGTTCCTGTAAACAGTGTTTTATTCATTTTAAAACTGGGTAATTTCGAAGCCCAGAGTAAAATAAGTTACATAGGCAAACAAGAGGTATATCGAAGAGGAAGGTGTACGAGAGGCCGGAAACTGCATGTCTATTTGTCCTTCATCTTCAGTGATTTATTAAATTAAAGTCTTAATAAGGTAAGGTAAAGTCACTTTCTAATGATATTACTACTACGTAAATGATTTGTTGCACCCAAATAGAAATAAATATCATTATTTGGCTTTGTTTTTGCATTTTGTATTTACCTTATTCAATAAAAGGATGACATACTCATCATGCTTAAATATGATCAAAGTAATGAGGAATACAATCAAATTAAGTCACGTTGATTTTCCATTCCGTGTGTAACTTGAAGAAATCTTTGTGTGTAAAGATTTGGGAAAACACTGCAGTAGATATTGAGTTTAGTAACTCCAAGTTTCGCAAAAATTTCTAATTTAAAGTATCTGATATTGATTTGTTTGTGCAGTGGAGGTTTTAATCTCAGCAAATTAAAAAAAAATATGCGCATTTTAACCTGAGAATAATTTTTTTTAATATTACTGTTTGGTTTAGCACTTCTTTCTGATTATAATAATTAATGTTACTGTCAACCTAATCAATTGTAAGGCAACTTAGATAAGATAAGATTTCATTTGGATTTTTAACCCCAGAGGGTTAGCCACCCAGGATAACCCAAGAAAGTCGGTGCATCATCGAGGACTGTCTAACTTATTTCCATTGGGGTCCTCAATCTTGTCCCCCAGGATGCGACTCACACCAGTCGACTAACACCCAGGTACCTATTTGCTGCTAGATGAACAGGACAATAGGTGTAAGGAAACATCGAAATATTTCCACCCGCCGGGAATCGAACCCGGGCCCTCTGTGTGTGAAGCGGGAGCTTTAGCCACCAGGCCACTGGGCCTAATAAGTAATCAACGTTGGTACCAACATTTGATGTAGGCAGGAAGGTAAGGTAAATTCACATGTATTACACTTGGGAGAGACAGCTTAGGGATTGGTAGTGTCTGAACTATGTATTTCACTGTCCTGAATCTGACTACATAGTAAGTAGGTAAGTTTATTCAGGTACAAGTATATGCAAGTTTATTTAAATACAGGTACACAGAAGTACAATTATCATACAAAGTGTAAATTACCTAGGATGACCCCCCCAAAAAAATCAAGAGTGACTTGGATTGGTGTCATATGACTAAACTAATGGTTCACTGGATAGGAATGTCAGGTGACTCTCCCTTCATATGTATAATTTAACAAATATGTTCTGACTCCCATAAAAATAATTTTGGGCCAAATATCTCCTTCAACCTTCCCCCAAATATTTCACAAGATGTAACTGCTTTTGCCAGGCTATGGACAGATTACTTGTATTATAGAAAAAAAAATTAAGGACTTAGTTCAGTGGAGCCCCTAAATTCAATACAGTGGAACCTCAAAAATCGAACTTAATCCGTTCCAGGAGCTAGTTCTAATTTCGAAAAGTCTGAAATTCGAAGCAATATTTCCCATAAGAAATAATGGAAATACAATTAATCCGTTCCAGAAACCCAAAAATATTCACAAAAAAAATACATTTTATAGAGATTAATTACAGTTTTACATACAACAAATGCTATAGTCTTTAATTACGTATAGTAATATAAAATAACATTTTTACTTACCCTTATTGAAGATTGGTGATGGCATCTGGAAGATAGGGAGGAGGAGAGAGGGAGTTGGGGTTAGTGTTTGGAAGGAGAATCCCCCTCCATGAGGACTTCCGGTATCAAAGCCCTCTCTGGGGTTGCTTCCCTTCTCTGTATTTTAATGCCACTAGGACCAGCTTGATAGTCATTGGACCCCAGTCTCACAAAATAACTGTCTACAGTCCTCTGTTTCTGTCTCACAAAATAACTATCCACAGTCGTCTGTTTCTGTCTCGCAAAATATCTGTCCACAATCGTCTGTGTTTCACAAAATAACTCCACAGTCGTCTGTTTGTCTTACAAAATAACTGTCCACAGTCGCCTGTTTGTCTCACAAAATAACTGTCCACAATCATCTGTTTGTCTCACAAAATAACTCCACAGCTGTCTGTTTCTGTCTCACAAAATAACTCCACAGTCGTCTGTTTCTGCCTCACAAAATAACTGTCCACAATCGTCTGTTTGTCTCACAAAATAACTCCACAGTTGTCTGTTTCTGTCTCACAAAGTAACTCCACAGTCGTCTGTTTCTGTCTCACAAAATAACTGTCCACAGTTGTCTGTTTCTGTCTCACAAAATAACTGTCCACAGTTGTCTGTTTCTGTCTCACAAAATAACTGTTCACAGTCCTCTGTACATCCTGGCAAGCTCAACAAGTTTCACTCCAATCTCATACTTCTGTATTATTTCCTTCTTCACATCTATGGCGTTTCTCACTTTCTTTACCACAGGGGTACTGCTAGCAAGTTTCTTTGGGTCCATGGCAGCTTATTTCGCAGTCCCACGAGCACTAAACACAACGAAATAATTGTAAAATGTGTGAATGAGAGCGCAGGTTAGTGTTCACTCAAGCATAAACAAAGCTAGACTGCTCACGGCGCCTGCATGGGGACGGACAGAGCGGGCCAGCGGACAGGTCCCGTACCTGGCGGTCCGAAATTTGAAACGCATTCGATTTTTAGTACACAGTTTGTCCGAAAAAATGGTCTTATTTTCGAAACGTTCGATATTTGGTACGTTCGATTTTCAAGGTTCCACTGTATTAGCCTAGATTGTAATCGTAAAGATTGCTATTTGTATGCAAAACCTATTTGCCATTTTTTTATTTAATATAAGAACATAATAAGAGAGAAACAGCAGTAGGCATGCTGGCCCATATGAGACATACTTCTCAAATCCATCTCTACTTACTGTACAGTATATATTTGAGGCTGGTGAGGTGCTCTTGATACAAGGAATTTAACCTATCCTTCCCTTCCTCAGATTAAGCCTGATTCTGTCCAGTGCCTTGGGTGCCATATAACCTTATGGGTGTATCCTCTTTCCCTGATTATATAAAGTTCATTGATTACTTGACAGCTTGTTTAACTCATTTGTAACTGCAAAATCAGCATTCTCCTATACTCTTGCCAAATCTATATTTATGCAACTTGAATCCATTGTTTTGAGTACTTTTTTGGATGTCTTTCATTTGTACCTGTTGAACATTTAGGCATTGTTGTCTTGCCTTCAGATTTTGCTAACAAGGACTAGTCTTTTTCACATCCAGTATGATCAAGTTCTACATTATTCACTTTGTAGGTGCCAGAGTTACTTTCATTCCCAAGGACTGGGACTTTGCATTTTTCCATATCTAACTGCATTTGCCATCATTTTGATCCATGTCATTAATATATACAGATCCTTCTCAAGTTTTACTATATCCTCTGAATTTATTACCCTGCTTATTTTTCTGTTGTCAGAGAATATACTTGCTATGTTGCTATTACTTCCCCTCATCAAGGTCATTAATGTAGATTATGAACAACAAGAATGCCACTTATGGTTGGTCCCCATTCCAGCTTCACTCCATTCATGGGCAAGACATCATGAGCCAGTTGTTTCACTTAAGATTGTCTGTATGACCCATATAGGTTTAACACTTGTTCTTTCAGTATATTGGTAATGATGATAATATCATAGCACAAATATCCCAGACTTAAGAGAGTTAACTTTAAACAGCATTATGAACTATCTTGGACCATTATCAACACACAACTGTTGTAACCTGATAATGGTCCAAGACAAACCATTATCAAGTGGAAACAGTTATGACTTGATAATGAAGCAAGACAGATTATAATGCTGCCAAAAGATTTCTAGGTGTGAGTTAGAAGCCTTTCTATGACAAAGGTTTATGCTGCCCTTTACCAGTTTTACTAGTTCTCTCAACTGTCTCTTCCATTCTGTTATTTTTCAAGTAATGGAAATGTATGAGAAGTCAGTCTTGATTGTGTATTCAATCTTCTGTTTTACAATAATTTTTGTACCACTGAATATATCATTGCTTAGTTAATCTTAAGTTAATTTTAAGCCTGCCTGTAATGCTATACATTCAAGTGGCTTTGGCATGCTGCATTTTACTGTATTCTTTTGTACTTCACTGTATCATGTTCAAATTAATAAATAAATAAATACCAAGCTGGAAAAATGTGATTATCACAGAATTTTGTCGTCCTCTTCATCAGAGTATAAAACAAATTCCAGCCACAAAATATAGCGAAAAAACTAACGTCAGAGACCTGGGGGTGATCATGTCGGAGAACCTCACCTTCAAGGACCATAACATTGTATCAATTGCATCTGCTAGAATGACAGGATGGATAATGAGAACCTTCAAAACTAGGGATGCCAAGCCCATGATGACTCTTCAGGTTGCTTGTTCTATCTAGGCTGGAATATTGCTGCACACCAACAGCACCTTTCAAGGCTGATGAAATTGCTGACCTAGAAAATGTACAGAGAACCTTCACAGCATGCCTAACGGAGATAAAACACCTCAATTACTGGGAGCGCCTGAAGTTCCTGAACCTGTACTCCCTGGAATGCAGGCGGGACAGATGCATGATTATATACACCTGGAAAATCCTAGAGGGACTAGTACTGAACTTGCACATGAAAATCACTCACTATGAAAGCAAAAGACTCGGCAGACGATGCAACATCCCCCCAATGAATAGCAGGGGTGTCATTAGCACGTTAAGAGATAACACAATAAGTATCAGGGACCCAAGACTGTTCAACTGCCTCCCAGCATACATAAGGGGGATTACCAATAGACCCCTGGCTGTCTTCAAGCAGGCACTGGACAAGCACCTAAAGTCGGTACCTGACCAGCCGGGCTGTGGCTTGTACGTTGGATTGTGTGCAGCCACCAGTAACAGCCTGGTTGATCAGGCTCTGATCCACCATGAGGCCTGGTCACAGACCGGGCCGTGGAGGCGTTGACCCCCGGAACTCTCTCCAGATAAACTCCAGGTAATTTCTTAAAGGTATTTTCTCCTCTTAATGACTGCATAAGTTGTAGCGTTGTCACTCGTGTTGAAAACTGGCAGTTGCACAATTTGTCTTCATTATTTCATACACAGTATTTTCTAATTCAGCAAATACAGAGGTGTAGCTAGTGTAACTTTCAACTGACACTTCATGTTCATGGTACCAAGACTGTGTTCTTCTATATGGTACAGATTTATTAGTTTTTTTTTTTTTTTTCAACAAGTCGGCCGTCTCCCACCGAGGCAGATTTATTAGTATGCAGGGTAAAATTTAAAAGGTCTTGCTAATTACCACAGAGAATCAGGATAAAATACCACAAAGAACCATAGACTCCATACTAAGAAATAACACTTAAAGATTAATTTAAAGTGCAATCAGTGTATAAAAATAAAAATCTTGGAATTAAAAAATTTTTGCTGTTTTCTCAAAGTGGTTGTCAAGTGGCTACAGGTTTGGCATTAATGTGTACCCACAAACCAGCTGTATTTCCTGGACTTACATGCCTATTGTAGAAAACTGAGGTACAGTTTCTGGACCTGCTACATCCCTAACTAAAGAATTGGAACTACAGTGCCCGGTCCTTCTTCAGGTCTGGTTAAAGAAGTTGAGCTACAGTTCCTACCATGCATCTGACAAGTGATATTACTGTAACAGGATGCATGTTGATATAGACACATGTTAAATTTATTTTACAATTTGGATAGACTAGTACAGTACATAAAACAAACTATTATTTTCATATATTTTAATTTATTTAATTTTAACATAAAATAATGAAAACAATTAAGACATGACCCACACTCACATCAACAATAGGTGGAATCTAAGTCAATATAGAAATTGCAGATATCATTAAGAAACATATTGGCATATTTCTCTACCATGACAAATCCTGTGTGCAGAGGATTATCACAATCCCATAACATATCAAATGATTTTCTGTATTTTGTTAAACAGTGGGCATGATAGGCTTGTGAGAAAGGTATGTTACTATCCCAAACGGCAACACTGGAGCCTATAAGACTCGATGAGATAAAGTTGTTATACAGGTCGATGTTGTTGTTGGAGTAGGCCCCTTGGTATTTTTTGAAGATGTGTGATTCCTTTAGAGGAAAAGGAAAAAGAATAATACAGTACATACATCAGAATTTGTCTTGATACTATCTATTCTTCAGTTCAGGCAGCCAGTTTCAAATGAACTGCAAATTATGCATTTCAGTACTCTCTTGATGAAATTTTAATACTATACTATTCATTATTCATGAAAGGTTAAGTTTTAGTTAGATTAATGTATATTAACCTTACATGAAACTTTGATTTAAAGATTTAAAAAGAGCCTGATTTACTGGATAAAATCTGTGGATGGACAAAGCTGTTTAATCCAGATCTGTCTGTTATTGTTACAGTCCACTGTTTAAATTGATTTCGATTTAACCCTTTCACCATCTCTTAAACAGATCTATGTTAGCAAAGCCAGTGTCACTCATGTACTGTTACCTCAAATATGCTGAGTGGTAAAATTTGGCCTAGACATGAGAGAATGGGTATGTGCAGTGAGTGTATTCAGTATTAAAAAAATCCTGCCCCATGCAGTACATGATGGGAAAAGTAAACCTTTGACCTTATGTATGGTTTAAAATATCAACTTTGAGGTGTTTTCTAGGATGGTTTTATGGACTTATTGGCTGTTTCTTGCTATCATTTAATAGAAAGAAAGATATACTACTGAAATAGAGACGATTTTGGTTGATTTCAGGACTGGAAGTAGCTTGAAATAGGGCTCAAGGTGGCATAAATATTAGATTTTGGACGATTTTCCTGAGGAGGGGTAAGGCTCCCCGTACAATCCCTGGTCTGTTTTACTAGATCTGCTGCAATTATTGGGATACTCCAAACCATGACCAATCAATCCTGGTTATATTTTTATCCTACAAATAGGGTGAGAGCATCAATTTTTGTAAAATGAGGTTAAAAAAGGGGCTAGGTATTATGCGACGTGATTTTGGGATCTTTTTTAAAACTTGGAATTCTTGAATTTTGTGTAAAATTGGCCAAACTATGACTTTGTGGACTTTATGGGTTTTTGTGTTTTTTTTCTGGGTTTTATAAAATGGAGGAAACTAGCAGAAATTTTTAAAACCCTTTGACTGTGCGGCCGTTATTAGTTTGTTAGGTTTTACCGTGTTTGGTTTATAAAAAAATTTTCTAGCGGTTTCAACAGGCAGGAGAGTAGTAGGCCCACATGTGAGAAAAGGGGCCTGTGTGGTCAGTGTGCACCACTAAAAAAAATCCCGGGCCGCGTGCTAATGAGAAAAAAAAAAACTCCGCCCGTTTTTTTTAATTAAATGCCGCTTTGTGGTTTTTTCGTATGTATTTGTGGTTGTTTTTGTTTTCGGGTTCATTTGGGTGAAGGAAACTATATATAAAAATGGGGGTTTTTTTGATTAATTTTATATAAAAAGAAACCTGGAAATGGAGCAAAAAGTACAGGAAATTTTTGATTTTTGCCGATGTTCAAAGAAAAACAAATGATGTCATTGCCCAAAAAATGTCCAAATAGCCATTCTAATCGCAGTCTGAATGGGTTGATGTAATTTTTACAATTTTTACGTATTGCATAGTTGCTAACAGAAAATCTTCTTTTTTTTGTTTGAAAAAATTTCAAAATAAAAAGAAAGGAAAATATCACAGGGACCTGGAGACAGATGAGAACAAGAAAATCTTTTTTTAGGCAGGAATGTTGCTTTGTTCATTTGGCCTTTTTTTGAAATTGTCGTATTTTTAATTTTCGTAAAATTTGGGCCCCAAATTGCAAATTTTGACCTTTTATTGGGTAGTTGAAAATCGGTAAATGGGCGTTTTTGTGCTCCGATAAAAAATGGGTTTTAAAAAAAATATTTTGATTTTGGGTTGACTGGAATAAGGGAATTGCCAAAAAAATAGGGCTCAAAGGGGGCGAAATTCCCGATTTTAAATTCGCCAAAGTCGCAAACTTCGCGAGAGCGTAATTCCGTCAGTTTTTCCACAAATTTCTTTTTTTTTTGTGTCTTTACATCGGGAAAAGATTCTCTATCATTTCTTAAGAAAAAATAATTTTTTTTTTTTTTCAAAATATTTTGCGACACCAGGAGCAATTCAGGATTGGGCCCTTCGACAGTCAAAGGGTTTAAAATTTGAGCAAACTGAGATTATATTTCTAAACGTTAAGACAGGATGGATCACAGTTCAGAAACCCCTGGCCCAGTCAATCTGAATTTTCTGCTCAAATGTATTTTTGGGGTCAAAGGAAAATGAAGAATTACTGGGTTTGTAATGATGTGTGTCAGTGGAAAAAAACCCCCAACAAAATTAAAGGGTATGTAATTTTGTACGTATTTGACGAGTACTGCTTTCTAATTGATAATCAATTTAAAAATTTAATTTTGAAAAAATAAAAAGTAAAGCCTTAAGTAAATTTAATTTAAAATAAAGACAAAGGAAAATTTTTTGTTTCTATGGTATGTCTGTTTTCTAATTATACATCTTTTGTTGGAAAAAAAGCTAAACTAATAAATAAATAAAAATAATTAAGGTAAAAATCAAAGGGGAGTTTTAATTTACACCATTCACGAACTTAAGACAGTGTTGATTATGTAAAGGCCATATTAAGAGGGACAACGGGTTACCTGTATGTGGGGCTTGTAGTTGTTAAAAGTGTAAATTGATTGGGAAAACTGACCCAATGGGGAAGGAGTGTGTCCATATGGTTTAAACTTGTTAAAGCGCCTGAGGTCCCGCAGAACGTATTGGGGGAAAAGGCGTCCTCACCCGTGAAGCCCGAACCTTGCAAGTAGGTAAAGTACATTTTGGGGATAATTTTTTTTTTTAGGGTAGATTAAAATCTGTACTGTGGCTTTCCCTTTCTAAAACAAACCTTTTTTTTTTTACTTCCAATTTTTTATTGTACTATTGTAATGTTTCAGTTTTCCATTTTGTTTGTCCACATGCCCGGGATTTTTAGCAGGAAAATATTGATAAATGTCCCCACCTCAATTGCTAGCGCATCAGCCACACATGAGGTCGGGGTTGATCCCCGTACGTTAGGTGTAAACTTTTGGAAATGTTTCCCTTTAAAGATCTGTGTCCCTGTTGGTTATCAGTAAATAGGTTTCCTGGGTTTAGTCGATTGGTGTAAGTCAATCCCGGGGACAAAAATGACCTAATTTTCCCCAAAAACTCTGCATAACAAGGTTTTTTTTTAAAAATAGTACAGTAGAAACCCCCAAAAATCCGGATTTAGTTTGTTTTCCACGGTCTTCTGACCCAAAGTTTAAACCCCAAATTTTGCTTTAAAAATGGCCCCAAAAGGGCAAAAAAGCCTAAAAGAAACCACAGTGCTTCCCATCAGTGAAAAAGTGCTAATTCTCCACTTATTGTGTGTAATTTATCAATTAAACTATCATAGGTATATACGTCGACGAAAAACTACTTTTATATGGAGTTCGCTACTTTCTACGGTTTTGGGTATCCACGGTAGGTCTTGGAATGTACATATCCCCCTTGGATATGGGGAGACTACTGTATGTCACTGATGTCAGCCAGGCCTGTATACCTTGTATATGTACTTGTAGAAATAAAGATTATTACTATTATTAGTTAATATTTTACTTCCAGTGCTGTTTTTCATGAGTAAAGTACTGTGCTCACCTAAAATCAGCAAAGTTGGCTTCTGCTGTTCATTGTCTGTCCATTGGTGCATGAGTTTTGGCAGGTGTAACAGTAGTGGATCCCAGTGAAATACAATTCGTAAAGGTACATCCATGTGGTACACCTCAATGTCTTCATGTAATTTGCCTATGCGTAAGTTTTCAGTTAATTCATGCACGCTGCGCCATTTTCCCTAAAAATGCAAGATGAATAAGGTTAGCCTTGATGTAAGCATTTGAAATCTCATAGGATTTAGGATATTAATGTTGTCATTAAATGTAACATATTTATGATTTACAAATAATGAATGCTTGCTTTTTTTATGTAATGTCTGTGTAATCACTTTAGGGTACAATAATACGAGCCCTGTGAAGCAGGATTCCATATGTCATATCGCATGCAAGCATTCTTAACTTTGGAAAAGTAGCAACTTCATTCACTGCTAAACTTTTCGTATCCCAATAATCATTTATCTTTCCAATTTACTCTTATTTCCCTCTTACCTTCTACTTTTTTTTTTTTTACCCCTCCTTTCCTTTTGATTCTTTCAGTACTGTAGCCTTGAACCATTCACTTACATCTGAGCAGTTTGTTCAAAGCCCTTGTTTCCAAAAGGCTCTCATTTTTTCACATATTCACATACTGTATAGTATACTTTTCCGAGGGACATTCCTTTCAGCGTGTCAGGATTACTATACTGAGACAAGGATGGCATTAATATTACCAATGGCATGTCAATTATTTTGGGTTGGTATGTACTGCCTTTCTGGCAGTGTTCTGTCACTGGATGATGTTGCTGCCCAATTAACTCATCCCTCAGGGCAAAATATAAAATCTATCCACCTGAAAACATATTTTGTTATTCCTCTTCTCATTTTTATTTAATTTCCCAACTGTATTGTAATTATAAGAACAATCAGCACAATTCTGAAATTAATTAAAAATTACTTTAGATAAAAGAGGCTTAATTATTAATATTTAAAAACAGGGGTTCCCAACCTTCTTTTTGTTGTGCAGACCTTTCTCAGGCTCCAAATTTGAGCAGATTACCACTGGCAACTACAGTCAACCACCACTATAGTGAACTCAAGAGCCCAGAGACTTTCTATAACATTCAGAATTGCAGTTGGAAATGAAGTCTTATATGTATAATATACAGTAGTATCCTAATCACTGTCGTCAGATTTGTACCACGCATTCTAAGGATTGTATATTGTTTTAATGTGAATGTTTAATAGTGGATTTTTCCCTGATTATTTCAATCAAAACTAAGCCCTAAACCCACAAGGGTCATACAGTCCAAATGTGTTAAGGGTTTAATGGTGCATTGTTTCCCAAATCTGTCATAGCCCCTAATTTTTATTTCAGTACAGTATAGCATATTGTTTTCAAGCTCTTAATTACTCCTTGATCTGTGGGCTGGATTAAGAATGTGCAGTTAGATAACACATGAAACCAAATGTTTCTGCAATGCTTCCTAGCCTAGTACACAAAATGTTTAAGAAAACATTGACCAGTAGATTCTTGTATAATCCAGGACTGATTGGTGAGTTAAATAACTAACAAAATTTTATACCCTTGAGTATGCATGGGCAAAAGCTTTTTCCAATTATCTGAACAGTAATTTGCATTTTAATGCCAGCTGCATGTAAATGCATCATAGTTAATTAGTCTCTTCTTTTCTTCACCCCAGTCATCAATTTATCATAGCTGCATATGAGAGATTGCCATACAATATATTTTCAAAATAGTCCTGCCTGTTTGCATTATTGATTTGCTTGGGAGTTAAAATTGTGTTCTTTTACCAAATAAAGAATATCATCCCAATATTGTGGTACTTCATTATTCAACAACATTATCGTATATGGATGCTATTTTTACTTTTTTTTTTAACAAAACAAGTACAGTATGGTACTGTAGCACTTAATGAACTTATGCAGCTACTGTTTCTATAGTCGACTGTCTTTTCAATATTTAGCTCTTTGTAAAAATATCTGGCCTTTTTCAAAATCTTCCCAGAAAGATGCACATTTTTGCTGTAATTCCCGTGAAACCAGTTTATCATCTTTGCTAGCAGAGCAATTACAAATTTACACTAATTCAATCTTAACACATTAACACAATCACTTTCATAATAACATGGTATTTCAGAAGTTTTTCTTTCCGTATCTTCAATCATAAACATTCGTTTTTTACATAAGAGTATCATGGGCTTCACACACACCATGCTCCAAGGTATGTAGTAATTCTACTTTATTGTTCAATATTAGTGAATCTCTCTTCACTACTGCATATAAAGGATTAAGCTGCCAGGAATACTGTCTGCAAATAATGCACTTCTAACACCTCTTACAAACAATTCTTATCAGTCACTACACAATAGGTGTAGAATCATAAAACTGAGTTGATTTATCAACATAGTAATAATGGAACTTGGTGTCCAGTAAATATGGAATTCACAGCTGCACGTTTTCTCCTGAGCAGTAGTAATGGCAGTTTTTAAGGTAATGTGGTGTGGGTGACTGGAGTATTACCCGAGACTTCGGTGGTATATAAAAATTAGATCAGCATTTGATAACTTTTCTGAGAAGCATTTTAGTCACTCGAGGTTAATCCTTAAGAAGTCTACCTATAGTTAGACTACAGATAAGTGGTGGTCAACTGGAGTTATTATTGTAATGCTAGCAGCTTTCCCATGTAACCAGTATGGGTCTGTAGACCACAGGTTGGGAACCCATAACTAAGAAAATTCTATCCCTGTTGATGTTTTTCTGTACTTTAGTCTTGGAGAATTTTAAACAAAAGTCACCAAAGCACTGAAGAACTGTCTCTTCTTGAGTCTCCCACAATTGCCCCAACCATCCTTTGGACAAGCTGGAAGTATTTGATGAATCCTGGGAGAATTTGTATATTGCTTCAGGTGAGGTGCTCGGGGGGATCTTTTGATTTTGGGTTGATGGAAGTGTAACAGGTATTCATTTGGGGTATGGAAGTGGTCCTTTTCTTCCATGCCCTGACTTTTGCCACTAGGATTCTTTTTGTTTTACCTCTTTACCTAAAAAACTGGAACATTTTTTTTTTTATTAAACTTTTCCCGTGCTTCTGTCTGATTTCTGGAAATGTCAAAATTTTTTTACAAGGGCCTAGCAAGGGCAAGTTGCCTAGTCAGTATAGGGACTTTACAATGAAAAACGGACATAAGTGCAGTTACATGTAAACTTTATTGACATGTTTCCCCCATACAGGGACCTTAAAAGTCACAATAAAGTTTTATGTAATTGCATTTGTCTTTCTCAATCTATCAGTATTTTATACATAATTATTACCTACCCAAGAACATTACAGTATTTATGAGTCTAACACACTCTTGGGTCTGGATATTTGAATTTAAGACATGTAGGATAAATTGCCATCTTTGACAAATAAAAGTTGGCTTGTTACATATTTTTAAGAGTATTAACTTTTGGGATTGAAGATACACAATGAGTATTATTGGAATTTCCTGCCACTAGACAGTCTAACCTTAATCTATACCACATAACATATATAAAACTTATCTCCAGATATTATAATCAGGGGGAAACATGAAACCTGTAGTGATCATACAGTGCCTGCAAAATGGAATGTATTCAGGTTTGAACTAATAGGAGAATAGCTCTAATTCTTTGGCTCAAGAACCCTTCAGAATTAAAGCTCCTCCCATTAAGGGCCATCTCTACATAACACAAAGACAATGTTAAAAGTTGTGAATAATTATCAGGCTATTCAGGTTCATAGGTTTAGTGCTTCTTTTTTATAATAATAATAATAATAATAATATTCAGGTTCATTTATATTTCATAACATTAGGATTATAAGCAAAAATGCATGGCCCTCAAACTACAGTAAGCCTATGCATATTACCGTACCATTTCGGGAGAGTCCAATTATCTGTTGCTGTATGAACACAGGCAAGAACATCTTCTTTGGTGTAGATGTGGAGTCGACAGCATGTGTTGGGAAGATGATAGGTCTTGCTTTCGTTACTATAGTCATAACAGGCTTGATTTAATGATGAACGTTGAGTGTGGCTTGGTGTGAAGAGGATAACATGAGTAGTGATGACAACCCAGGACACGAGCAGGCAGTACCACATTTGTTGCCCACTCCAGCCACCCCCTTGCCCATGCCACCACAACCAGGCTCTTCTGAGTGTGTACATGTATTCTGTGGAATAAAAATACAAATGCAACACTTGACATAATTAGGAGACATTTTGTCCCAAACATATGCAACAGTTAGGCATCTATATTCCGAAACGTTTCGCCTACACATTAGGTTTCTTCAGTCGAGTAGCCCTTGTGGTTCAGCGCTTCTTTTTGATTATAAAAAAAAAATAATCTTCAATTGAGTACAAACAAAAAAAATTGGCAGGAGCAGTCAAGATGTGAAGACAATGTAATTAGTCCATCACCCTTGAAGACGAAGTTTTGAGGTGGTCAGTCCCTCAGCCGGGAGAAGAGTTTTGTTCCATAGTCTGAAACAATGTGAAGTTTAAGCGACAGTATGGAGCCTGAAATACATACTGTCAGGAGAGGTGTTGTCCAATGGTAGAATAAAGAATGTATTTATTGAGAGGTCATGTCCCTCTCAAATCCAACCATTCTACTTGAAAAAATTTGTAAGTGCTTTTGTGTTGAGTGTGTGTTACAAAAAGCGATTCTAAAGCTTAGAGTCTCAGTAAATACTAGAAAAGGATGCCTTCAGCTCCGCCTGTTACTGGGTTTTTTGTAACAAGTAGTCTATTTTTGTCCAATTATCCATTAAATTCGTATGGTTCAATGTGCTTTTAGGTTTCAACTGGTAGGTCTAACTAGAGAAATTAAAATTTAATAAATTTATTAAAGTGTAAGTTGTCTAGAGGTATATTATAAAATTAAAATTTTTACAGCAATCAAAATAAAACAATCTCGAGTTCAATATTTTTGTGCTGAAAGCACATACCATTTAAAATTTTTAAGTCCCGTCAGGACTTTAACATTTAAAAAGTTTTTTAAAAAATATGTACAAGTATGTTATGCATGTAAGTGTCAAAAGTAGTTAGCTATGTTCAAGACTGAATAAGACTTAAAAAAGTGATGAAAAAGTCCTCAAAAAAACTAATTCTTGACGACTGGCAACCCAAAACAGTTGCTTGAAAAACAAAGAAGCAACCCCAAAAGCAATGCTACAAGCGCGGACACAAAATCAGGAATGGGAAATAATATAACGAAATAAGTAGGGCCATCAGGACCCTCCACAAGTTTACAAAACTCCATAATACTGAATCTTCGTTCAGATAGAAAACTGACTGTGACAAGCACAAAAACCCAGTACAAAATTGGTAGAAGTATAGCAAAGGGCCTGGATGTTCGAGGTCTAAGTGACACCAACCTCAGTACAACGTCGAAAATCCAAAAAGTTATACATGTTCTGTGAAAAATTTACAGAAACTACAAAAATAAGGGGGACAGCAATCTGTCCAACCAGAAACGAGTCTCCAGCAGACTCCCGACAGACAATCTGTCCAGCCCCAGCGATCTCGGCAGATAATACTTTACGAGAGGTGAGGCACCCCCCCTTGATCCGTGTAGCCCCCGTGGACAAGTGCAGTCAAAAGCCGCGTTTAACGAGCGACAAGCATAATTCGTAGTTTGACAACAAGCCTAACGACACTTTTTATTACATCCTAAAAACATAAGCAAAATAAAATAAAAAAGTAAAATAATAAATAAAGTCATACTTTAGATTTAGCTATTATCGAAATAAAGCAATAAAAAATTAAATGAAAGGTAATATATTTTTATATTCATAATAATTTTTGAAAACCCATTCGGGTTTTTGAAAACCCCCCCCCCAACCGACAGAGGGTGCCTAGGGTTCTGAAGGGTCTTTCACATTATTTCTGGTTTACTATATAATTTTTTATAATAAAAAAATTTTTTAGAGTCATCTGCCCCAAAGACCTCTACAATTTCACAGCGCCGTCACTGGGTATGTCTCTTTTCTAGGGCAGTACACAGATCGTATCTCTGTATACTCGTGGTTTGTCATCAGGTAGGGGAAAGATAGCTTGAAAAAGGGGGCACGTTGAGGCTAGATATATTTGAGGAGACGCATTCCCTCTTAATAGTGGTTGTGGAATGCGGGCAGTTAAACATTGAGTATGAACGTTTAAAGGTGTGTAGGAGGGGGGGGGTTGGCAGCGTGTTGCGTCACGCAGTACTCACCCGCCCCACCTACCACTCAACACTCAGTTGTTCCCCCTCACCAACATTACTGTGAATATAAAAATTAATAATTAGACATGACTGGTATATATAGTTAATATGGGGGGAGGGTTTAAAGTACTTTACTGAATTTGACAGAGCAAGTAAAAAAAAGGTTTTTGGGCTAAAATTATAAATTTTAAAGGGGGAAGTCCCCAAATCCCCGTCAAAACGTTCAAAGGACACCCAAGAGTAGAGCAAAATTTTTTCTGGTGTCTTTGAGCTTAGTGAAAGTAATTATGGAGGAGAATGTGTGGATGTTGACTGTTGGAGCAGACACCCCAGCATAGCAACTGCATCTATATGTAAAAAGAGGGAAAAAGATTGAAATTAGGATCTTCAAACAGGAGCGAGGAAAGCAGATGCTTAATTTTTTGAAAAAATTAAAAAATCTCTAGTCAGGTGAACTGAACTTTCATAGAGCTCATGGGGAGCTGCAATTGAGAAAGTTTGGACGAACTCATAATATCCTCCCCTCCCCCGGAAAATCTTGTACTCCTTTCCTATCCGTGGCATGGAAATTCGAATTGCACAAACCTTAGCCTAAATGGAGAACTCACCTTGGCCGATAAAAACCCTGTAGGTAATTTGGTTGACCAAAATACATTTGCTAAGTTAAAGTGAAGTTGTGTGCGCGTCTCTCAAAAAATGTTTGAGCGCGTCAAGTGCTGTTCCACCGATGTCCCCCACAAAAGTGTAAAGGTAGGCCCTACCCCTTTCTAAGTTGTGGGTCAACTCGTTCATTATACGCTGGAATGAAGAACCCGCGTTACATGGCGAAGGGGGTGGAAAAGTAGTTAAATAATCCATCTTAAACAGTAAAGGTATTTCTTGAGCAGTTCGTAAGGGGACTTGAAAAATAGCTCGTAAGAGATCAAAAACGGCTGACAAACTGGGCCCTGCACACGGTCAATAAGGTCGTCAATGGAGGTAGAGGATAACCATCAGGAAAGGTCAGGTTCATTTCCCTGTAATAGTGCACATCCTGAAACTCCGTCGGGTTTGGGCCTAAATACAGGGAGCCCCCGGGACTTTTATGCGTTCAATAAGTCCGTGAGTAATAGAAAAATAAACTCTTCCTCAATGTTTATGCTTCGTTGGATCACCATAGGGTGATTGCTTAATGGGTGATGCCCCCCTGTACATCAAGTCATGTCCCCCCAGAGTAAAAAACGTTTGGGAAAATCACCGAACAATTCGGGGGGAAAATGCAAAATTTTTTTTAATATCACCAGCTTTTTAAATCCAAGGTTACTAAGGAAAATCTTTTCTAGTATTTAGAGTCACTGAATTTTTCTAACAAACTCTTCCCTTAGAGATGTCAGATGTTGCTGCATTAATAAAGGGGAAAGTACTCAAGATGGTTTTGTTTTCCCCTGCCCACAGTTTTTAACACTGCAAGAGGACCACGCACTTGGTGCCCGATATTAATTAAAAACCGGCTAAACCCGAGACTTTTTGTTCATTTTTCTTCATAGCAAAACAGAAAAAAGGTATCCCCTCATCCCGTCTCTGAAAAAAGTTCCAAATAAGTTTCTTAGACTTCGTGTCTGATGAAATCTCTTAGAGACCTTGTGACTGTGGATGAAAAACGGGGTTGAAAGTCAGAATTTTTTCCCTAGGTGGGTAATGCTTCTCGAAAGATCTTAGAAGTAAAATTGCCCCCTGATTGTTTGTATCTCTCGGGGGAAATAAAACCTGGGAAAAAAAATTTCATCAGGTCTCAAATAGCAGAGCTTTTAATTTTTTCATGGGGAATAGCTTGGGTAGCGTGTTTGCAGCGCCCATAATAGTAAATAAGTTTGGGTTTTCCCTATTTTGGGTTTCTAGGCAAAGGACAACACAATCTTTTATAAGATGAGAAGGTTCCCCATCCCGGGATGGGAAATTGGAGGGCAGGTGGATTTGGTGCGCGGCTTCCCTGTCACTTGACACACGTGGAAACGTCGCACATGATCGCTACTTTTTCCTTCATCTTTGGGCCCAAGAAAAATGTTTTGCAGTTTACCGAGGTCTTTTTGACACCCAAATGTCCCCTATGGGATTTTTGTGAGCAAAAAACCAAAGGCTTGTTCACGAAATGTAAATGGGAACACAAGAGATGCTTAACTGTGTTGGAAACATATCAAACTGACAACTTTCATGTTTTTTTTTCCATCAGTAACGTTCTATAATAGAACATTATCGAGTCCTTTGCTTCTTTCATAACTGTTATCTCTCAGTCTTTTCCGTGATGATCAACAAACTGATCCTTGATTAAAACATCATGAGTTGAAAATTTTAAGTCAGTTGTGTCCTGACTAGGGTTGGGTGACCGGGGAGAGTCGTTAAAGATCCTGGGGGGAGCGTCACTAAACAACATATTCAGCCCAAAAACATTGTCTCCCCTAACTCAACAGGGAAAGGGGTTGTTGAAACTTTGACTGCCTTTGTAATTGCTGAGGGAAATAAAATAGGTTTCTCTCTACAAGCTTTAATGGCATAATTATCATCGTGGTATTATCAATCAAAGTGGTTTTAATATACCCGTTAAGGTTGTTCCCTATAACAAGTCCATGACCTGTGGGAAATACACCAGGATATACCCTGAAATAACCGTATAATAGCTTGTTTAATATAAAAATTTGTGCAGGGCACTTTTTGAAGCCCCTCCCTAGGCTTTAAAATACATTATCTTGCAATGGTATGTCAGTTATTGGGGTACATCTTCTCTTAATAAGTAGATAAATGCCCGTGTCTCTGAAAGAAAATTATCTGTTTGATGTGATTGTCAAATCCTATTTTATCTTCGAAAAGAAAGGGCCACGCTGAACGATCTTTCGTCAGATACACTTTCTGACGCTAGTCATCTATCCCGAGTAACTTATCTAAAAAGTAGGTCGAGGAATTGCTAGGCTTTCGGTTGCTTTGGTTCCGGAAGGGTCGACTTGGTGGGGGGCCAGCGCACGACTGTTCTTATCTTTTAACTTATAGCAAAAATCTCTAGTATGTCCTTTCCCGTTACAATAGGTACATTTAAATTTCTTTTTCTCGATACCCGATTTTTGTCAGCCCCAGGACAGATTCGGATTGTGGTTTTCCCGGTAAAGGTTTTTGAGAAGTTCAGCAGCGGAACATCAGGCCGGCAAGAGCAACTGATTTAGGTTGCCAATTCTAGGGCAATCTTTAGTTACCTTGTTTTTTTTGTGTTTTTGTACGCAAGTTTGTGAGAAATTTGTAATTGTTGAAAAGGGTGCAGGTTTCCCGAATATTGAGGTGTATGATCATCAGATATTTTTTGTAC